GTTTGGTGAAGTAAACGCGCCTTTGAGCCGGTTGATGAGGTCGTTGATCAGCGGAAGGGGGTACCGGTTTTTGACAGTCATCGCGTTGAGAGCACGGTAGTCCTGGACGAGCGGAGTCCGCCGTCCTTCTTCTTGACGAAGAAGACCGGAGACGCCATCGGAGACTTGGAGGGGCGAATCCGGCCCGTCGAAAGCCCTTCCTCGATGAACGCGTCGAGCTCGCGTCTGCGGGGCGAGATGGGGTACACCTTGCAGTTGGTGGGCTTAGCGTCGGGGACGAGTTCAATGGCGTGGTCCCAGGCTCTCCGCTCCGGTAGCGTGTCGAAGGACTCCTTATTGAAGACATCCTGAAACTCCTTAGCCCAGTCCGGGATCTCGGAGGGCGGAGGGGCGGAGTTCCTGGCGAAGGCTTCGGCCAGGCGCTGTGAGACAGTACTGCCAGCGCGTATCTCCTCCGAGGGGCGGAACGAGGTGTAGAAGATGCGGTCACCATCTTCAAGCTGACCATCGTCTTCATCGTCGTCGGAGTCCGGCATCAGATCAGGCAGGGCGGAGTCGTCACCGGAGACGGAATCGTCTCCGTCGTCAGGCCCAGAGAGGTCCATGGCGCAGACCGAGGGGAACGGGCCGGAGCGGAGTCGCTTCTGGAGCAGCCGGAGTCGCCGTAGCTCAGTCCGTTCAACGCGTTCTTCCTCGCCGCAAGTGGAGCAGCCGCGAGGGCACCCGCGTCATCTTGACCTCCTTGGTTTCCCAATCGATCTCTGGGTTATGCTTCCGCAGCCAGGAGTACCCCAGGATGAGGTCTTGTTTACCAAGATGGGTGACGGCGAGTTGAACACGCTCGGAATGGCCTTTGTAGCGTAGGACCAAGTCCGCGATCTGGTTGATGGAGCCAGCATCATTCGGAGTGCCATCGACGTTGAAGACCGGAATCGGTTGCGCCAGGGTGCGGACCGGAATGCCATTCCGGCGGCGTAGTTCGTGTCGATGAAGTCGGAGGTGGCACCACAGTCAACCAGGCCAGAGAGCGAGAGCTTAAGCGCTGGTAGTGGACTCTAGCTCCAACGGGAGGTGGAGGGAGTTCACTCCAGGGGAAGCAGCGACAGTGTACTGCTTGGGCAATTTCTTTTCCCAGGCAGTGAGGCGGCGAAGGACGATGACCGGAGTCGCGGGCGGAGTCGGAGACGGAGTCGAAACGGGGGCGGGGGAGGGTATGTCTTTCGTTTCAGGCTCGTTGTAGGGCGAAGGAATTGATTCGTCATACAAACAAGCGAAACGATTTACGGACGCGAACGAGGGCACACCAGTCACTCGTCGCGGGGGACAAAATCCTCTCCGGCCATCGACTCCGCGGCTGTTTCCGGCAGCGCAGCTGTGTCCGAGTAGCGGGCGATCAACTCCGCTAACATCTCGTCACCGAGTTGTTGGATCACCTCGCCGAGGATGTCCATTGAGCGGACATCCCTGGGGGGGGGCAATCTCGGGCGAGATGGTTTTGGGTCGCCGCACCTGAAGCAGGCGCGACGAGGGGCACCCCGAGCCCTAGTGCGATCCAACTCCATGGGGACGGGAGCTGGAGGCGCCGGAGCGGGGCGCGGGCCGCGGGTGGCACGACCGGAGCCACCGGGCGGAAGGGAGCCGGAGCCGGGATGCGGTTGACCGGAAACGGAGTCCGAATCAAACCGCCAGGCGTCTTGGGGGCGGCTGACTTGATCAGCTTGGCCCGGACCAGGGCCTCGTATTGACGGAAGGCCCGGGTGCGCCAGCTAAGATAGTCCCGGAGGTCCGGGGGTCATTCGAGGACGTGATTCCGTTGTTGATCAGGGGATCAAGTCCGTGGCGGAACTTGGTCACCTTGACCAACGCGTCTTCAAATCCGGCGAGGTCCATCAGGTCCTCGAAGTCGTCGGTGTACTGGTAGACATCCTTGGTGCCCATGTGATAGGCGGAAGTCTCCAGTTTGGAGAGAGCGTGATCTTGCTCATTCTCCTCGACGAACCGGAGTCGAAACTCGGAAACGAACGAGCCCCAGGACGGAAACGGAAACGGGGCTTTGCTTCCGTGGCGCGCCCGCCCATTGCTGAGCAGGTCCTTCTGCCATAAACGACATGGCATAGCGGACGGCCTTTTCCTCGCTCGCCTCTCCATTGACCACGAAGGCCTCAGGGGCAAGGCGGGCGTAGGTGCGGACCGCGTAGAGGAACGCGCGGCCGCGTTTCCGATCGCCGTTAAAGGTGAACGGGGGTTTGGTCGTAAAACCAATTTTGAGGCGAGGTTGATGTCGCCAAAGAGGGCCTCGGAATCGCCCTGAACCGGAGTCGGAGTCGGAATCGACGTCTCCGGTGGTGGTGTTTGGGGTCCGCCAGCAGTATTAGCGGCGGCAGCGGCAGCGGAAGCCTGGGTGGTGAGGAGAGTAAGGGCCTCAGTTAGGCGGTCGATTTTCGCCTCGAGTGCATCCAGCCGAGTGTCAGCGTCAGGAGTAGCTCCGGAAGGCATGACAGGTGCGGGGGACGACAGGAGTGGCAGAGGAGGAGGGGACAAGTGGCAGGGGCGGTGGCGAGGGCGGAGTGGACTCGGACTCCGAGCCTGAGTCAGCGCCGAACCTGGCAATCTTGTCCGGTTGATCCCGTAGAGAGTTTCTTCTGCTGTAAGGGCAACCCCGGAGGCCTGAGATCAAGGTCCTAGCAGGGGAGGATCCAAAGAGTGAATAGAAGTAAGCAAATACAAGTGAGGCTGACCTAGCAGGGGAGGATCCAAAGAGAAGAAACTCTAAGGGTCCGCCTGCTAGGTAGCGGAACTATATACTGCGCTCTTGACGCGCCAAGGTTGATCGTTGCTCCGTGCAGTATGCCTGCGCCATGTCGCAGGCCAGGTCCCAGGGGGATCGCCAGGCGGGGGCGGCGATGCGCCTGACGGAGGCGGTGATGCGATCGCCGGAGTCGGAACCGGAGTCGGACCAGAATCGGAATCGTCTCCGAGGGGCCGAAAGGGAGGTTCCCCTGACAACATGAGGCCAGCTCGAATATTGGAAGTTTAATCAACGCTGGCTCACCAGGATGCAAGTGCATTTGACCTGACACTCGATGACTAGAAATTCTGTTCTTGATTCGTTCATAAGTACAGAAGCGGTGCTTCTTCATCCCAGCAACACAGATGGAAGATATCATCTCGGCGTTTGCCAGTGCCTCTCTTTTTCAAGAACCTATGAATGGTCAGATGACTCAGATCATGACAGCCTGAGTGGTGCTACTTACATATCGTGTCCTATGGGACAGCGTCCAAGTAGAAGAAAGAGTCAATATGAGGGCGAATATGCTGCTAGAACAGGTTGACGCAATGAGTTGGTGGACGAAACGTTTCGAGATCAGAGATTTGTCATCCGGTCTCACGCATCCTTCCTTCCTTCATGATCGCTCAAATTAGGCTTCGTCTTCAACTGGCTGAAGGCCATCTGACGAAAGCATAGTCCGCAGGCTAGTAACAACGACAATTTCACGGATGCTCCACCATGGAACCCTACACACATGAATCATCAACAGCGCAAACCCACATTTAGCCCATGATGCACTTACCCGTGTTGCAAGTGTAAGGCTATAGCTGCTCCACAGTCCGACACAGAAGAGAACTCACCGTCGTCCACTAGATCTTCGTGCGAATATCAGCCTGGCTGTGAAAACATCGCCTTATAGTCTCGTCCCCATCTTCTTCGTACAATTTCTACCCTCCCCGGGGCCAGGATGTGTCGTAAAAATACCCGTTTGATGGCGCTTGAGGTACGCTGGCTAAATTGAGATCCTCCATTATAATGCCGTCTACTCTAGACTCCTTCAAGGGTCGCAGCCGATTGATTCTCCAAATCCATCCCTCCCATGTCTACTGAAATCCTACAAACAACACTTGGAGCACTGCTCGCTGGCTGTTTAACTGCTGTAGGGTAGGCTCCATCTATGGCCGCACGCTTATACCGCTGCTGATTGCAGTGTCAAAAGGCTCTCTGCAGTTTTGGGATTCCAGACCTTTCTCTACTTCCGGATATTCCCAACAGACACGATCAAATACAAAATTCTGGTGGGTGTCACCAATGTGCACCTGTATCAGGCTCAATGACCATGCTCAGGTCATCTGGATCTGGTGGGTCAAGCAAGGGATCTCTTCACCGATATAACAAAGTACAACAGGACCAACGATGCAGCGCACACAATTTTAATCTGCACGACGATGTGGAAGTACCTCGTTGTGAACTTCAACGACGAGAAGATCATCTCGCAAATTATGCCGTTTGCCTTTCACTATTCAGTCAACTTCATCTAAATTCAGGCTAAGTACTCTGGCGGTGAGCTTGATTTCCTCCCGGATTGTCGTTCCTGAGAATCCTTCGAGCTCACTGTCGCCATTACGGCCATTATAACGCTTAGCGCGAACTTGTGCTGAAACCCCTTCTCGCTCCCGAATATTGAGCTGACTTTTGTTCAGATTCTATGGATGGAGAATCCACAAGAGTACGGGTTCAAGGATTCTGCTTCATAACCCGCCTCCTCATAATTACATGCGCTTCCAGTGAGCGGCAATAACTGGTTTTTGACGACTGTTATTGTGAGCAGTCGAGACTTTTCCGGGGTTTGTCTTGACTCTTGACATTCTTGTAGGTGCTTCTTTGCATTGCGCGGACCGGTAATGATCATGATTCCGAGAGTTTGTGTGTCGCTCTGACCGCGATTTTCTAGGCCTAGCATTGAGTGAGATCACATAGCGTTGTAATGATTCACGAATTACTAAGAGAGATCGTACCCCCAGCGACTACTATAGGAATGTAAGCACCGCTCCTTTTTGCACTTACTTCGCCTCGGCCTAATGCATAACAGGTTGCTTGACAAAACATTTGCATCGTTCTCAGGCCGCTTCAATGTTGGTTTTCGCCTGTTTCCAAGCTTTCTTGGTCTCGCTCAACCACATGTTTTTAGAATGTGGTCATTGCTGGTTTGTCTATATCGGCAGTGACGGACATTGTTGTCTCCATCGCTCGGTATTACTACCTTCGGAGTCTCAGACAAGGGTACCCAGGGTAAGGTCAAATTCATATTCACGGACACTCGACCGTGTCCGAGCTGACACCCATTTCACAAGAACACAAGAGATGGTAGACGCTGTCGTAGTCTTTACGATCAACGATGGTTTTTTGACATGTAAGTCTGCGAAATTGGCCTTGAACAATGCTCATCGGCACCCAGGCGCCATTGTGTTTGCTGCGATTACCTGCGTTAGCGACTCATCTTTGGATAGAATTATCTCATCAGCGGAAAAAATAGGTACTGAGACTCCCCGGGACGTTTGTTTGGATCGGAATACATTTCAACATCGCCAAACGTACCCATCTCCTCCTACTTCGTTGAAAATGTCTAACCCTTTGTAGTATACTCTAACTCGATCCTCGCGACGTATGGCTTCGTAGCAGCCTTGCGATTCCCTACTCATTTTTGCAGCCTCAACTTGCGCAATTGGTACCGCCATCGCCACCGGCCACTGGGCATCCCGCTCAATGGACGGCACAACCAGCCGCTCCGCGCTGTCCCTCGCTCGATCATATCGCAAGACAAGCCCTCGATTACTGGCTCCGATAACTTGACCAGACCCAATGTGCGCAGCCTGATGAATTGTTGCTGGAGCTGACGGAGCCAAATAGATGGAGGTCTTCATTGACCATCAAGTCGAATATAACGTCGCTGTGAGATGCGCCGCAGACGATTGTGTTGACATCAAGAACGAGTTGCGGTCATCCATCAGGTCGGCGTCGATGGACGAAACCCATCTAGTTGTCTGAGAGAGCTGTTTTTTGTCCCAGTGCTGAACAATACAACTCTATCTAACCAGAGGTACTGTTACCAATCGTGCGACGAATCCATGGCGGAAAATGAGCTGGCTTAGAACCCGGCTCGTGTCTCAGACTAGAAGCATCTCCACTCCAGTTGCTATCAGTCTCTCTGACAGAGACAGAGCCATTGTCGCTGTCGTTCAGGTCTACGGGATGTCGGTGCATACTGGTGACAATGCTCATCGCAGGGGTCGATATTGGGCTCTCTGGCACGGGAGAAAGGCTGGTCATCAGGCCCCGGGTGGCCCGCCCCATCGACGGTCGGCCACGAATTCGGCGCATGAAGCCCTTGGCGCTGATACGGAGCGGTTGAGTCGGCGGTAGTTTGCTGGTGCTGTCATTGGCATCTGAGGCCAACCACGGGGCCACCGCGACATCGCTATCTGTGGTTTGTACCGCAGGCGGCTCCGTCGGAGTGCTCCATGTATCAGCGTCAAGATGAGAGTTTGGATCATTCGCTGATGCCATTTCACCATCACGTGCATGGAGCGAAACTGGACGGCCCAAAAACCCTTCGCTCAGTAGACGCGGCTCCACTTGGGTCATTCTAGGGGTGGCAGATGTACGTGAACGCCGTTTGTTTACTGGAGAATATGCATCATCAGGGAAGTCTGATGCGTCATGCAGCAAGGGCGAAGAAATCCATGTCTTGGAGAGTCTAGCTCGGCCATGGGACCAACGACGGTAAGCCCACACGGCGAGAATAGTTCCCAAGACAAGAGCAAATATCGCTCCGACAGCGGCGCCAGCCACCTTGCGTTTGGGGTGAGACGACTGGGAGATCGAGTTCCCCGAAGCTGGGTCACTTTCAGTGGGAGAAGCGCCCGTAGAAGTCGCGATCCCATTCTGACCATATGAGTTGAGGCTGAACGAGATGACATTCGAGGCGGTCTTGCTACGGGTGGAAAGCGAAGATGTAGTTGGAATGGGAGAGAGTGTGTCACTGGAGCGATTTAGCGAAAGTTGTTACTCAGAAAAGGCCACACTTACGGAGCAACCAAGCGACCGGCAGCTGTTGAGGTAGCTGTAGAAACGCTAGGTGAATGCGGCAAAGGGAATCCAGGAGGAATGAGGGTGAACGAAAATATGTGTTCTGATGCTGAGCCCGTTGCGTCTGGGTCGAGCCCACTCGAGGAACTGGGATTTGCGGATGAGAACGACCCAGGGACTTCAGCAGGACGATTCTGTGACCCAGGGATGGAATCAGACTCAGAATCAGGTGAACTTGAGGAAGCAGAAGCGTGGGGAAACACAATGGTCAATGTTGCTCCATTAACTGGGATGCTGGAGGATGAAGAACCCCCAATCACAACTGGGGTGCCATATACTGGGATGGGCCGCAACGAGCTCGAGCAAGGTAAAGCGGAGGAGAGCACCTCCAATGTTACTGATGAGCTTGAAGCAACGGGAGAGCTGATAAATGTCAGCGAAGAATGTCTGCGACTAAGTGGAAAGGACATACGGCTCGATGACCTGGCGCCATTTTGCCGACCTACGCTCAAGTTGTGGCGTCAACAGCTGCATTAGAGCTGGACTCAAGTCCTCGTTGTGGGATGGAAGAAGAGAATAACCACACCCCGGAGACGGAGCGTGGAAGTACTAGTAGTTTCATCGGCGTCAACTGGACCGACTCGGGGCGGGACAATCATTCTCGCAAGCATGGTTGTGGGGGTCGATAAGCAAAGCCATCAGTGATCACATGTGCTTCTTGCACATTTTCGATGAGAAGTGCGTCAAAACTGTATGCTGCGAAGTCAAACAGTTGGTCAGACCATCCTCGTCCTTGGAAACGAGCGAAAGATGAGCAACTCAAGCACGCTGGGTAAGAGCTCAGCTGAGAACGTTCAGATGTTTCCTTCGCGATATCGGACGACACAAATAGAACAACTGGCGTAAAATTAGCAGTGAGATGGTGCCAACCTCATAAGTGACAACGCGAGCATACACCATATGCATCCCTTTATGTAAGTTTCTCCGAGTTCCTTCACCGCATTGACATGAACCATACTTGGTTATTCAGAGAAGTACTGTCTTTGTCTTGAGACCTCAAGATAAAACAAACTCTATTGATTTCTTGTTCATGGACCCTAGTATGTAGTATCTTGTCCGCTCTCTGGGTTTCCATATGCAGTAAGTATCACAAACGACAAATAAGTTCTCCGTGTAGCATCGCAAACCACGCGTCGGGTGCGACACACCAACTTTTCCAAGCTGTCGCCATTTCCTGTAATTCAGCCTCCGTGGAGATTCCATGCTCGACAGCGCTTTTTGCTAGTGCTGACTGGACAACACGCTCTGCCCATGTCCCGCTCCACCATTCTTTTTCTTCGCTTTTGCTGAAGCACCATGTACCGACCATGGGCTCAATGCAATCACGAGGAATGCCCGCCTTGAGGGCCCACGACAATAAAACACGTCCAGCGTTGGGTTCGCCTCCATTTGCGCGAGCTGTCCTCTCATACATTTCATGCCAATCTGAGAGCCCTTTGGAGGGTGGGTGCCAAACCATAGATGCATAGTCGATGTCGCGGACGGCAATGATCCCTCCAGCACTCTTCACAACTCGTTTCATCTCACTCAGCACCTTGACGGGGTCAGCGACGTGTTGCAACACCTGGTGGGCGTGGACAACATCGAACATGTTGTCAGGGAATGGCAAATTGTGACCATCTCCGCGCGAGAAGGTGAGGTTGGTGACTCCTTGCGATGAAGCTAAATGGCGAGCTTTGTCAAGCACTTCTTCTTGCTCAGCGGATGGCTCGATTCCTGTAACATGGCCTTGAGGAACTAGGCAGGCCAAATCAACGGTGATTGTCCCGGGTCCGCATCCTACATCGAGAATTGACATATCAGGCTTGACGTAGCTCAGAAGGTAGGCACACGAGTTCTGAGCTGTTCTCCAGGAGTGCGCTCGTAGAACGGAAGCTTGGTGGCCATGAGTGTAGGATGTCATGAATGCTAAAATTCCTGCGTCGAATCCAGCTGCTACTATCACAATGCTTGGAGGAATGGTAGGATAGTAAGACTTGAGGTTACGATTGAGTTAAGTACGAAGCGGCTGTGACTGTCTTCACGTGACTGTGACACCCTGTCTTTGGTCTGAACATGTACACTGGCAATCTCGGAGTCCTTGCCTCTGTTTCGAGGGTGAGCCGCTTCAGCATGTTTCCTACCACCCTTAACCCGGCCATGGTCAGGTGAGCGAGAACGTGCTCCAAGTTTTAGGACAGGTACACAGAATCAGACTGTTATGTAATAAAATAAATAACAAAAATCTTCCCAGAATCCAGGACTCGGAGAAGACACACTCCAAAGTACCAAAAACTACATAATTGGCAAGAAGCGGCCTTTTGCGCTAGTCGATCTGGGTGAAGGACGCACCGAATACACTCCTCTCCTTGAATTTGCGTTGAAAGAGGCCACTAAAGGAAGCGCTACCGCCGATGAGCAAGAAGTCGACGTATCTGATATTATTCTTCCTTATTGGCGCACCTCTCATAGTGATGGGCTTGCCACAATACTGGGACTTCTCCGCAGACTCTGGAACGAGCGGAACGGTTCACTGCCATTCAAGCCTCCGCGACTACACACGTTCCCTCTTCAATCGCCAAATCCGAGTCCCTATGAACAATTTTACCCCATTGCCACTCCACTTCTTTCGCCGCCAACTGGCAACTCTTACACTGTTTCGCCTACAGGAAGACTATTCCACGAGCTGATTGATGGGCAAACCTTTACCAATTTTCGTGTGTTCCGCATTTCCAGCGGCAAATCTGGCCATACAACCGATTCGATTTATTTCCATGTACCCAGCGATAAAGTGCTTTGCACTGCCGGCGCCGTTTTTGCCCAAAAAAACACTGTTTTCGAAGACTTAGCCGCCTATATGCGCAGTCTCCAACATTTGTTGACGTCGGTGAGGGAGGGGGGAATCGAGAAGCTTTATCCTGGCCATGGTACTGCGGTGTTTGAGGGCCGAGATCTCATCGAAGGCTACATTGCTCATGAACAAGATCGCGCAACCCAGCTTTTCAAGTTTGAAAACCCAGTTGTCGACAATGCCGAGGTGGAAATTGAAGCTGAACCAATGTCAATCGATGACGGCGTCATTGACAATGCTGACTTGGTGATCATGCGCTATGGGTTCCAGTCAGACTTCATTGCTCCTGGTGACGCAAAAGCCACCAATGCTCTGTCAACATCGTGGGCTCTTGGGGACACCGATTGGAAAGATCCACCACAAAACTATTCTGTCCTACTGCATGTAATTCACGAGTTCTCCGGTGCTGGACCAGTAGGCCTCTGCGACATCAATACCCCAACTGCCAGGTTACACACTTATGACTGGCCTGTCATGGTCAAGAAACTGATTGTTCGGGGAGGACAAGGGGAACCACTCAGATTTGTGTTTGTCCCCGACAATAGTGATGGTCTATTCGTGGAGATAGAAGATGGGGCTACGGTTCTGCAATGCATCCGGTCACGCTGGCGGAATACCAAGACAATTATTCAACAACTTGTGAGAATCGGGGCAGCATTCTCACTTTGCTGGCGTCTATCAACCGGTAGCATTGCTCGGTGGCCACCCGCCCAAGTCTTGTTAGGGCGTCGACGAGCCAACTATCAGCCTACCACAGTTGATTACCGGGCGTATGTAAAGCGGCGAGATGCATTCTTGACATCACCTCGCGGTCGCGTGGCATTGTTCCAGGGCGGATTTGTGGCGAGAATCGCTCGAATGGTCATACCAAACTATCAAGAAGTCATCCGTAGTCTGCAAGGTGAAACTGTCCCCGAATATGGCGTCTTTCTTGCAGATATTCCATACGGTGGCTCCTTGTGGTACCAAGCACTAACACCCAGTGAGATTGACCTTGTTTTGGGTGTGTATATGGTGGAAACAGGCAATTTACTGTTTTGAGAAAAAGTACAAGCATTGATTTCCTTCCAGGGCAACCCGACGACAGCGACAAATATGGTGCTCAAGTCAAGTATGCATCATTTTGGCCCACGCTAGCAGCGTTCCAGTCTTCAGGCCTAAGCGTGGGCTGGTGGAGTCCCAACTGCGAGAGATGGTTCCAGAAGCGCCTGATGGAGCTGCAGGGAGGAACAGGAAACCTTTTGAGCACTCCAGAATGGAGGTCGAAAATTCGGTTCAACGCTCAGGGACGGAGGACAGCGGCGAATAACAGTACGATGGCTCGCAAGTTTCTTGAGTCGTGCCCAGCTGTCAGTTATTTCTGAATTGAGATGATGATTGGTTTGGTACAATGTACCCTTAGTGTTCAGAGAGCACATATGGACACATCACAGTCGTCAACGGGGGAGGAGCGAAGGTCGCGCCTTGGTCTGTAACAGACAGAGGAGACCAAAAAGGCAAACGATGCGTGAACCGGAACATATTCAAATTGAGGGGATACGGCATCTCTAACTGTCTGGTGGTCGTCAACGCGTAGACTCTCAACTCACCACCGTGACCACGACAAAGTCCAATGGGTTAAAAGAAAAAAGCAACGAGCTTGTTTTCAATTTTGTTGTTGTTTTTCTTTGGACCTTGACGTAATGTGCCTGACACCAGCCGAAGCACGCCGACATCAACTTGTCCTGGGATCTCTTCTCATATGCGCAGCATTCCTCAGCATTCCTTTCCTCTCGTCATTGGGGTCCGTGCATGCCTCTACTATGGAGGCAGTTTTCGGCGCTCTTTTGGAAGAACTGGATCGTACTATCTAAGCATCCCTTTGTTAGTCCTTTACCTTCGTTGACAATCGAATCGCTCACCTCGTTTTAGCTGAACATTCTTCGTTGCTTCATTTTCCCGGTGCGCCTCAATGCTCTCCGTGTTAGAATGACCCATTTTATCTATAGGTTGCCTATGGAATCTTTCTCGCTGTCGCGAAAAAGTTCTTACTGAAACCCAATAATGTGCGCAGCCACCTAACTGTTATTCTGCTTTTGAAACTAACAGCTAAAAGTATGGAATTGGCTCCCCCATCCCGATATACTCCCTTCAAGACAGATTCCATGACGCGGGAACGCTTGTCTGGGCAGACGCGACCGACGGCAAGAGCCAACCTTCGCCCGACGACATCATGGCCCGCATTACGAATGGATTTACGGACCGTCAGCTAGCCTCCGTCAAGAAATCCAGCAGCGCAGCACAACTCCCTTTCGAGTGCCCGCAAAACTTCAACGGATTTTCCGAATGTTATGCGGCAGTTATCTTCTACGACATTCCAACAAACGCGACCAAACCCATAAACTACACGGTGCTGGCGGACTCGGGGCTGTTCCACATCGACGTCGTTCGCCATGCAAGTGACTTTGAGACCAGGGTTCTGCCATTGCAATGGGCAGTTGACGAGGTAATGGTCTTGTAATGCCACTTTCATTTATTGGAAGTTGACATAATTGCGGCAGGCTATCATACAACTGCGGACTGGTGTCAGCCTTCCTACGCCGCGTGAATGGGCGTTCACAAACGAAACAAATGTGGAGCAAGATGATCGTACCCGGTTGAGTGAGTTTTTCTGGGCTTTTGCCAAGCAACGCTCTTAATCATCCAAGGCTTTGTACGCGGCATTCGAGAACTTCTGGTTATAGCATTGCAAGTGCTCTCTTCAATCGTGCATTTGGCTCATCGAAGACGTTTACAGCTTTGTGTGCTTTTCAGGAATATCCTACCAACTCCCTGGCGCTTATGCAGGCGAGCGGGCAACTCAAGTGACAGCCCATATGCGCGCTATGGGATTATTTGACTCGGCACGCATTGCTGCTTGGCATCTGAGCTACAGCCTCATCTATTTGCCTGCGTGGGTTATCGTCTCACTAGTGTGGCGCTCGCAAATATGGGTCGAAACCAACGTGCTCATGATATTGGCTGTTCACATCCTCTTCGGCTTATCCCTGGCAAGCTGGTCATTTTTTGTTGCTGCACCGTTCGGCAAGAGCCCCCAATTGGCAGCTGTGTTCTCTACGTTCTTGTCAATAATGTTTGCTATCATCGCGCTGATTCTCAAACGAGGTGTGTTTTATTTCCTCTGAATGCTCTGGTTACTCATTATATTCTAGTTGGAACTGGTGGTGCCTTTTTCTTTACCATCATCTTCCCTCCTGGGTTTTATATTTTCGCCAATCGGGCCATCAGCGGATATGAAAACCACCGATTACCTACTGACGCCATCCACGGAGACCCTGATCACCAATTGGCCTTACTCACCATCCTAATCGCTGGTCTCGTGCGTTCACACGATTTGCTTTCCTTCATCAGCTCATATGAGTCCAGATTGACGTATTCTTGTGGCCATATCTTGGTGTCGTTCTAGAGCGACGACTATACGACCCACGAGAGCCGTCTGCTTCTCGTTCTTGGAAATGTTGGGGTAGACGACGCCGCGGGGAACTACAGATGCCGGTAGACGTGGCCGTGTCCGTGCAAGGGCTTGGTAAAACCTTCAACACGTCCATGTTCAACCGCAAAGGTGGGGCGGTCACCGCGATTGAAGAGCTCTCGTTCGATGTCCCACAGAAAGGGATATTTGTGCTTTTGGGTTCGAATGGGTCAGTGGATTTCCTCATGTTGTTGTTCTGTGAACCGAATTCCTCCAGAGCTGGAAAGTCCACCTCCTTGTCCATTATCGGAGGTCTTGTGGGACGTACCAAAGGAGAGATCGTGTTCGAAGGGGGCGTTTCTAAACCACCGCGAGGGACTTTGGGCATCGTGCCTCAAAAGAATGTCTTGATCTCCGAGTTGTCTTGTCTCCAAACCCTCAAATTATGGCGCGCAGTCAAGTGGTCCGGCAAGGCAGATAAAGACGAAGACCTCGTTCAGTTACTAAAAGACTGTGATCTCGGGAACAAGATTCATGCGAATGCAGACACCCTTTCTGGTGGGCAGAAGCGCAAGCTGCAACTAGCCATTGGTCTTGTTGGCGGATCGAACATCGTCCTAGTTGACGAGGTACGTTGGTAGATCTGTCAATAGGCTTTCATTGACGTTCGATAGTGTACCTCTGGAGTCGACCCACTTTCGAGACGCGCGCTATGGAGGACCCTGATTTCGTTCCGTCAAGAGCGCACCATTATCTTCACGACTCACTTCCTCGACGAAGCAGACCTGCTTGCGGACCACATCGCGATATTGGCAGCACCCGGAAAACTTGTTGCGTCGGGCTCACCAGTTGCTCTCAAACGTGACCTAGGGGAAGGGTATACCGTACAAGTAACCTTGGCCCAGTCCAGCCCTGTCGAAGAGAAAGCCGGCCCTTCGACCACAGCAGAGCTTCTGGGTTCGATACGCGCAATTGCCCCTCTTGCTCATGTTGCTTTGGCCTCTCCGCATCAGCCGCTATATCATTTGAAGAGCAAAGATACCGCCGTCGTAGATCAAGTTCTTCGCCTTCTTGACAACGACAAGGAGAAATATGGAGTTGCCTCGTATGACGTATTGGGTACCTCCATTGAAGACATTTTCTTGGACTTAATGAGGAAAGAAGATGCAGCGAGTGGTAACAGAAACAGTATGGATGCGTTGGACGAAGCAGACAAGAGCGCCACACCGAGTAATGCTTCGATTGACGACACCAAACACGTCGAATTGAATCTAGTCACGGGACGAGCCACCTCACCTTTCCGCCAGGCGCTGACCATATTCCGCAAACGCGCCATTATATTCAAACGAAGTTGGCTAACACCGGTCCTCGCCGTCCTCATCGCTATCGCTGGCTCTACTATTCCCCTCGTATTCATCTCTGGCAGAGCACAGTCTTGTGTCAAGACTCTCGACATTCCCGCCTTCAACGAGCCATTGTTCCCGCCCCTCTCCACGCTACTTGCGTTCTACAAAGGAGATCCTTCTCGAGTCTTGATCTCCCCACCATCTCTAGCAAACACTTTTGGCAACCTCACGGCCGTCAGTGCTGCTAACATCGCCAATTTCACCGCATTCTTTAATGACACGGACATCGGGAATACGACTGCTCTGCAGCCCTTCAGTTTCCTGCCCATTGCGGATAATGCCACCTTTGTGAGCACGATCCAAAACAACATCCACAATATCAGCACGGGCGGTGTTTCGTTGGATGTCACCTCTGGCCAAGCGTTTATTGCATGGGAGGCCTCGCCGCCTGGGTTGATGGGTCCCAGTATTCTCAGTTTGGCCAGCAATCTCCTCTTTAACCACGCTTTGAATGTTTCTGGACGGGCGGGACCAATACCGGCATTGATGCTCCCTACATACGAATCTTTTCCGCCTGTTGATGGTAAGCCTGACTTGATCCACTGGTTGCCTCACGCTGAGTTGTCTTAGCTGGCACCCTTTTCGCGCTCAAGTGGATTGCCTTCTTCTGTGCCGTCATGGTCGGTTATTAACACTGCCGCGAATCATAACTGACGATCATAATAGTCTGTTTTCCCGGCGTTTTTCGCGCTCTACGTATCCAAAGAGCGACGTTCCTCGGTTCAAGCCATGCAGTTCAGCAATGGCCTACACAACCCCGTCGGTCTCTGGCTTGGACATCTTATGTTTGATGCTATCTTCACGGTCATCATGTCCACTATTGTCATCATCATCTTCGCCGCTGTTTCGAATCAGTTTCATGGCCTAGGTTTCTTTGTGAGTGATTCAGATCTGACTCGCTTGTCGTTACTTACATGCTTTCAGTGGCTTGTGATGGTGTTATATGGGATTGCTGGAACACTTTTCGCATATTGCTGCTCCCTGATAGTGGTGTCACCACTAGCAGCGTTTGCAACAGTTGCGGGGTACCAGATCGTCATGTTTGTGGTAGGCCGGATTCTATCGTGATTTGCTTGGGCTCAGTATCAACTGTAGCTGTATTTGGCCGGATACTTGCTTACCCTCACGTACGCCAAAACTTCTGACGCCAACCACATTATCACCATCATCCACTTTACGCTCTCCATCTTGTCCCCTGTTGCGAGTGTGGTAAGTTTCTCCGCTGGTCATGAAAATTGTTTATTCACACTTTTGTAGACCAGAGCGGGTCTTGTCTCGGTCAACTTGTTCTCTTTGCTTTGCAATGGAGAAGAAACCAATTTGAGCGCGTCGTGGATGGCGTCGATCATGCGATATGGCGGACCCATTGTCTATCTGGTCATCTACTCCCTGGTCTTGCTTGGCATACTTGTTTGGGTGGATTCGGGCTCCCTGTTTCCGCGAAGGTTCAAAAAACAACATTCACGGTCAACAATAACCAACTCGGAGACAAATCGACCAGTCAAGGAAGATGTCATCCTTGAAGCACAAGCCGCCGCGGGATCAAATGACCTGCTTCGAGTGCTCAATGTCAGCAAAACGTTTGGCAAGAACACAGTCGTTGATGATGTCAGCTTTGGGGTCTCGAAAGACACCGTGTTTTGCATGCTTGGCCCGAATGGCGCGGGAAAGACGACCACATTCAATGTCATTCGTGCGTCGTTTCCCTTTTGCAACGGCCACCATACTGACCACTGCCTTTAGGAGGAGATGTGATTCCGGAGTCTGGAGATGCGCTCATTCAAGGCATTTCCGTTCTCAATAACCCACGAGCGGCTCGCGTCTCCTTGGGTGTCTGCCCACAATTCTCTGCTATCGACGCCCAACTCTCGGTCCGTGAACATCTAGAAATATATGGCCGGTTGAAGGGACTGAGCAAGACTGAGGTCGACACAAGCGTTGATTCATTACTGGATGCTATCGGTCTCCGAATATATGCTGACCGGCTGGCCAGCAAGCTTTCCGGGGGAAACCAGAGAAAGCTTTCGCTGGCAATTGCGTTGATGGGCAACCCATCTGTTGTCTGCATTGACGAGTTCTCCACTGGAATTGACGCGAAGAAGAAACGGGAGATGTGGTCCACGCTCCGCGCTGTCTCGGCCAACAAGGCAGTCATCATCACGACCCATTCAATGGAGGAGGCTGCAGCGCTGGCCACCAAAGTCGGCATCCTCGCCAAACGGATGCTTGCTGTTGGGACGACAGAGCAGTTGTCTGCACGCTACGCGACTTACGAAGTCCATTTCGCCTGCCGCACGCGAGAGGAGGTTGCCCGGGCGCAAGCGGTCATGTCTACCATCCCTGGCTCACGCATGGCTGACGATGTGGCCACCCGATTCGAAGTCCCGATCGAGCGGGAAAATGGCCTGTCTCTGGCGGAGCTATTCCATCGACTCTCGACACACGACGACTTCTCGGAATATACGGTCGAGAAGGCCACCCTGGAGAGTGTGTTCTTGAAGGTCATCCGGGAAAACAATGTGCAAGAGGAAGACACTGCAAAACGGGGACAGTGGCGCCGACTGATGGGAGTTTTCGGGCGATAGGTGGTTGGTGATAGACTATACTCTCGAGCAAATTATCTGCATCTTGCTAGAATCTGTGGATTAAAGGTACTTACTTGGGAAGCTTGAATACCTAAATCTTATCTACATTAATATTGTGGTGGTTGGCTAAGACTCAGATCCTCAGAGCACATAAGTACTATCCTCTTTCAATCAAGTACCACTTTTCAAAATTTGGGACCAAAATTTTTCCTTTTGAGTTAAGCTGATTTTTGGCAAAGACTTTTTTTGTCAATGTAAGGTGTTAATGGACAGTTCATCAAAATAAGACAGTAACCAGACTTCAGATACCAAATCACTGGCATGGCTTCATACTGTTTTTGAGGACAGTGAGCAAAAGGGATATGGTAATGACGTGGGTTTCAAGATCAAGGCATCAAGTAGTGAAGCACTGAACCAGACCCTAGTATACTATTCGAAAATACTTCTCATCGTTCTACAGTTACGAATCTTTGGTCATGAACCGATTTTTCTTGTCTATGATGATATGCTTACGCTTTAGCTGGGGGCTATTTTACCGTCACGATGTTCCCGTTGAACGTAGGAACTCCCGTCCACATCGCCCGTCCGGTGCCAATATCCGAACCGATGAATGCATGGAAGGCGATCTTGCTCCCGTCTCTCGTGACGCAGGCACTTCCTGGCGCTCGCAACCCATCTGTGCCCGTGACCAGCAACGGCGCGTTGGGTGCGCGCGCCTTCGTATACGGGCCAGTCACCACTGAAGCAGTGGCATACGAAAGGTCGTAGCTTGTGTCAGAATAACACCCGGAGCTGAAAAAGAGAAAGAACGTGCTCCCAACGTGGACGAGACTAGGTGCCTCGACAAGCGGGCCGTCGCCGTCGTCACGGTCAAGTATTTGAACTGGGCTGCCGATGGGGGTATAGCCGTTGGCTGCGACTTTCTGGAGCATGATAGGGGTAGAAACGATTGGCTTGACGCCGTTGTTGCATGACCCGCCGTGTCCAAGACTATTTCCGTCGATTTTGTAGACGACATAAAGGCTCCCATCAGGATGGTGGTGTCCAGCTGGGTCAATGGCGCCGCCTTGGCTAATGGGGCAGGCAATCGTGGACTGAACGGGAGTGTATGGGCCACGGACATTGGTGGAGGTTGCAGCACCAATGCAGTGGGCCGCCGTGTTTGACGCAGCAGTGGCAGAGTAGTACATAACAAACGAGCCGTCATCCTAGCGGAGATCGCTTAGTATTGCGAGTTGAGCATGGAGAGAACTCACAAGTTGTACAACCATCGGCGCCCAGACATTCGCGCTGCTCGCTACCCAATTCGCTACAGTGGGTAGCGGGTCGGTGTTTTCGTATGTCCAGGTTTTGAAATCGGGACTACTTGCCATCTGGTAAGTAGTTTGTTAGATTGTATGCGAAGTATGTAGGAAAAAGCGCTTGACCTGCACGTGCTTCCCATTCCCAGTCGTCCCAAACGCAAACCACGAGTTCTCCTGCGGCACCCAGAGGAGAGACGGGTCGGGAAAGTCTGTAGCGATGGCGGGTCCAGAAACAGAGCGTTTTGTGGAGGTGAAGTTGGAACTGGGTATGGCGAAGGAGAGAGACACAAGTGAAAGAAACACGGTGGCAACCAGCATGATTGGAGGTTTTGTTTGGGTGGAGTCCACTGATATATATGCAGCAACTTGTTGGTATTTCCCGCGAGTGGCCCGGGGGGGGGTTTGACCGTTGGTTGCGGCACATCTCAGCGTGCAGATCCTAGCGAGTTAGTCCACCTCGATTGATTCCGCGATTCGCAGCTTGCCCTATTCGTTCTTGGTTTCCACATGGATTGCTTGTGAACATCAGCTTGATTCGGCGCCGTAGGTCACTTGGATCCATCTGAATCTTCCATCTTGTTGGCCATGGCATATTGCTCAATTCGACTGCATGGAGAGAGGTGACTCTGGTGAGAAGGCCAAGTGTGGGTCTTGTTCAAGGCAGTTGTGGCGGCGCTGGAGAAGTTTTAGTTTAGAACAACATCTGTATCTCGTCATAACTAGTCACGTTGTGACACTAAGTAAGCGACCAGTCTGAGTTGCACCAGAAAACTATGGCATTAGCGGCCGCATTAGAACATTAGTCGTTACAAGCAGTACATCTATTAGATGAAAAGAGCCTCATCACAGTCGTCGCAAGTTACATAAAGGCAAGATGTTGGTACCAAAAAAAGTCCCGTTCACTTTTTCTTTGCGTCGCCATTCGCCTGCACATGATGCCACTCCCCGTCCTTCCCCTTCTTCCGCACTGTGAAGCACGCAATGCCCATGAAATTCGTGATGTCGTTGATCACTCTTACGCAAAACTGCGCGTAAAGAACGAACGACAGCGCCAACGTGGTATAGACCAAGAATGCCCTGCCTTTGGCCGACGATTGGATCAGTGGCTGTCGGTCCAGCAAGGCGGGGAGGTAGGCGTCGAGGGTACAAAGTGCTGTCCAGACCCACATCCAGTCGAAGAGGGGGAATGGACAGCCGTCTTGGGTCACGTGGGCGAGAATCATCCGGCCGACATGACGCGCGAATTGCAGGCCCCATGCGCAAAGAAAGGGCACAAAAAGCGGAGAGTAGAGAATTGCGGGAGACGTGACACGTGGATGGGCCAGCCAGGCAAGCTGGAGGCCGGCCGATACCACGAATGGGAGCAGGAAAGTAAGTGGACGGGAGGTACCACTACCAGAAGACTTTCTGGTCCGCCGGACGTTCGCGTAACTGTTGGCGATATTGAAAAACAGCCCAAAAGCACCAAACACCATGAACGATTCGTTCAGTGGGAGGTTGGGTAATCGGTTGATATATGGCATGTTCGTGAGTCGTAAGAATGTTAGGATTTTGGTATCCCAAAAGGCCGGGCCGTAGAGACCACTGATCGTGAAAATGGCGACAATCATGAGGATTCCCTCGACTGGTCCAGAGAAGACACCGAGATAGAGCTGGCCAGTGTGGTATTCTTCCCAAGTTGTGAGGTAGAAGTTGGCCAGTGTTGCGACTTGTGAAGAGACAGTCCACCATGAACGTCCGAGATTGAGAGCATGGCAGGCTAGGACTGCTTCTAGAGTCGTGTTCATCGCATCACAGCCTAAAGCGTTTTTAGTTGGTGACAAAAGGCTGGCAGAATGCAACGCACCATGATCAAACATTTCACCCAGAGGTCCAGCCATACCGGTTCGACGCGCCTGTTTTCTAAGACCCTTAAGTTGTTGGGGCTGATTAGATGCTCAATCCACTGACCCATCTATGGCATCGAAGCTCTGGTAGGCAAACAAGCCAATGGCTAAGCTGATTTTGCTGTCAGGCGAGCAATGAACGTCATGCGAAGAGTACACACGAAAAGTACACCCAGCTAGGCAGCACTACTCCGCCCTTCTCCGTGAGGTACTGCGGATCGTAGTATAGCAGTGTCGCGAAGTTGAGGAAAATTATTGAGAGGCCCGAAAGCGTTATCTGGTCCACACGTCATAAGTATCATCGCGTCGAAAGTGGCCAGAAACACGAGGAGAAAACGATACTCACAGTATTAGGGGCTACATTGAGCGGCCATAGAGTAACAAACCATGTCCAGAAGGGATTCAAGATGTATTTCGACGTGAGGGACCTGGCTCCACAATCAGCTGTGTTGGAAAAAAGCGAAGAGGGAGAGGGAGGACGCACTTATCTACACCTTTATACGCATATTTATGCAAGTTTTCTAGCGCATCGCGTGGGATGTAGCCCATCGGCGCCCCCACTCGCTGGGGTCAAAAGCAAGAGAGCTTTCAAGTTTTTTTGGTGTGACGATGCAATGATGACATATCACGTGCGTCATCGGACCGACCAGGTAAATCATGACATCTGATACGAATGATCCGTCCTTTCTCCAACTCGTTCCTTGTTTCAAACTTCTTTCGAATCCCTCAGAGGTCTTACACGGCGGCTCTGCCGCGAGGAGAAACCAATAAAGCTGTCATCACAATGGCTTCGTCATTCAAATGACGACGATAGGCTCTGGTTGCTGGACGCTATGAAGATGGTCGGCGCACAACATCTGCACCTTTGTCATCATGACTGTCTCGGGCCGTTTCTTCGACGCTCGCCATATAGTTGTATCCTGTCGACACACAAAGGGTGAGCGTGGGCCGCTTCCTGCTCTCTAGTAAGCAACACGTTTTCACAATTACGCAGGATCAGCCCTGCCTTAAAAGAGTCGACGATGGCTTCCATGCTCTCAGCGCCGCCCAAATGTCTTCTCCCACCTTCGATGTCAATACCACCGCGAAAGAAGTTGCCGCAGCGTTCCCAGACCAAATCAAGGGCAAAACTAGTTCGTGCCGGTGTTATGGTGATATGATGTTCTCATGGGATTAGTCCTTGTGACTGGGACCTCTCTCAAGAGCATCGGATTTACCACTGCACAAGCCTTGGCTAAAGACGCAGACTTGCTCATAATCACTGGTCGAAGTTTAGAGAAGTAAAGGCCCTTGTGTTGATCGATCCGATCTCATTTCTCTCGACAGACTGAAAGAAACTGAAGCCGCACTGAAGGCAGAGTATCCCAGCGCTAACATTCGACCTCTGACTCTCGATCTTGCATCGCGAGCTTCCGTTCGTAAAGCTGCCGCTGAGGTCAACGCCTACACGGAACCACTCCACGTTGGCGTATATTCCCTCTCACTGTTTCGGTGTCTTATTGCCCCGCAATAGATTCTCATTCACAATGCCGCCAGTGTTATTGGGGCTTTCAAACTTAACGAAGACAAGCTTGAGTCGCAGTTCTCATCCAACCATGTCAGCCCCTTCCTCTTCACCAAGCTAGTCGCACCCAAACTTATCGCATCGGCGACTCCTACTTTTGCTCCTCGTGTCATCTTCGTATCAAGTGGCGCACACGCTCATGGCGCGATCGATTGGGATACGCTCACGGCACCCGACGAGAGCAAATACGTCCCCATCATGGCATACGCGCAATCAAAAATCGCGAACGTGTTAACGGCAAAAGAGCTCACCAAACGGTCGGGTGGTCGAATTCAAGCATATAGTCTCCATCCGGGCGCAGTCGCCACTAGTGAGGTTCCCGAAACCGTGGTCACTTTGCAGTCACTTGGTGTGTTGTTGATGCTGTGATATATGTCTTCCACTGACTCTCAATCAGGTTTTTACACTCCCGAGGGCAAACCGAATACGGAGAAGTTTTCTTTCAAGTCCCGCGAGCAGGGGGCGAGCACGTCTGTCTCCCCCTTTGTCTGTTGATTTCTCTCACTCTAGACCAGGACCGTTGTTGCTGCAATCGACCCACGCATCGAAGGTTCAATTTCATTCTCCCTTCGAAACTCTCATATTCATCGCTCCTTCCAGGCCAAGGGGGTGTCTACCTCAACGACTCGGTTGTCGCAAACGAGTCGGTCTCAGCCGCCGCCTCAGATCCCGTATGTCTTCTTTGCTTTCTCTCAATGTAGCTCTGATATGGGAATCGCAGGCCAATGCTGAGCGATTGTGGACTGTTACGGAGGAAATTTTGGGAGAGAAGTTCACGTTTGCGTAGCATTTTGGCTGCTCGAGTGTTCCATTGGTCGCATACACGTATCTATACCCGGCCAGTTTCAAACAACGTGGATTTAGTATAGTCAAATCTTGGCTTGAGAGCATAGTAAGCACAGCACTGAGCACTCTGAAGGGAGTAAAGGTGAGATGTTGAGTTTCGGCAAATTAGTGGGATTTGCGCAAGGAAAGCGCTTCATCTTGAAGAGCTGAGAGCTGATACTAAGAGAATAGATTTATGGTGAACTGGAAAACACAAGGCAGAAATGGCATCACCGCATCACGGTCACGCGGCGAGTCACGTTTTTTTCGAGCCCGTCGTGCCAGTGTTTTGGGACATTCGTGTTCAGGTATGCCACCAGCGCTCTATGGCAGGCGCTCCGAGTCAACCATCTATTTTAACCTCTATATTAGAGCGTGTAGCCACCTACGAACACGCGCGACGCAAAGAACACATCTGAATCAAAAGAAATACCCAGGCCAAATGAGGATGATGCGCAAAATGACGCCGCTCAGCTTCTGGTTTATATACCGGTTGCTAGTCGCAGCAGGCAGTTGACGCGACTTTTGCTTTGACGCCCCATTTGTCCAGCTGTAGCGGTGCGTTTCCTTAACTAGCGGCATGGGATATTGAAGAAGAGAATAGTAGGAAGATTTTCTAGGCGTGCTGGCTTAATCGGTGCTTAACGCTACTGCGACTACTTCAAGTTGCGATTGTAGTTGGAGCCAGGCCTGTTCAAATTCATTTTCACCATGCGGCCTCTCCGTTGCCCGCGGCGACCCTGACACTCCCCACCTTCTCGAATCATATCTCTCTCCGAGTCGACTCATTTCGTTTCTGATTTCGATACCGGATGTGGGATGCTGCTCGCCCAAACGGTGCGATGGAGGCTAGTTTCTCAACCCGTCAGTCGAATCAGGATGAACGAATTGTGGAGTGGACCCGGTCCAGCCCGTAATTCAACACTGCCTTTCGACAAACGGCATATGGCTTTCCGCCTCGATGAATACGCCCGCGGGGGAGATAGCAAACTTATCGATCTCATCTTATGGTTTCTTGACTCTTGGTCGCTTCGGCAAGGCTTCGGTCAGCGTTGGATAGGGAATCCAAAGCCTATCCAAGTAGTCAAGCGCCAATCCCTCTGCCGGCGAATTTCGCAAAGGCTTTCTCGTGTTTGGCGGTGCTGCTGACAAATGTCGTCAAGTGGAGCCGGAAGATCATACCCGCCTGACCGACAACGCAGGTGACGACCATTTCTTGCTTTTGCCTCCCACTCCATCGCCTATCAACATGGCAACGTCTGTCCTTTGACGCTGCCCCACTTCGCCGGTTGGCCTTTCCGGACCCACAACAAGCCTCTGGTAAACGGTGGTTCGTACCGTGATTTCCTCTGCGCTATGACGCACTAACTTTTTAAAGCACCGAACTTGCCGTGCGAGTTCGGTCCGTTTTCGCACTCGCCTGGACCCGCCTGCCTACAACGCAGCACACTCATTCCCGCTGCAACATACCCCCCATCCCCTTCACTTTCAATGACGTTGCGGCCGATACTCAAGGCTTTGCACATCTCGACTACCACCACAGCCCCTCCCGATGCCGATGCATCCAAGCTTCCTATATCCTCCAATCCACTGCCTTTCGCATCGTGTAGCTCTCGCATGGTCATGTACTCCCCACACGTCCATTTCCCAACACAACCATGTACTTTAACTGGAGCCACACACTCTCCTGGGACATATGATCGCGCACCCATCTCGGTCTCCCCCAACTCTTGCGCCCTGCCAGAACGTGGCGGGCGTGTTTATCGATCATCAATACCCTTGCCGTTGCCGACGCCAAAGGGGAGCTACTTCCACCCACGAGCATACGAGGCTTGCGAGGCCCCAGAGCAGGACAGAGAACGGGAGTTTTACTTTGACTGCGAAGAGCCCGATTCGTTGGCTGTCCCTGAACTGGGATTCTTTTCGTCGGAATCCTCAGAATGCTACACGGACGAGTGTGCATCGCCTGACCCAGGCTCGCCTCCTGTTCGGGCGAGTACTGTCCAATTTGCGGCAGCCACTTACGAGAGCAGTCCACCACTTCGCTCAAGACATTCTCGGGAGCATGTGTTATCCTTCCTTCCCCACCCACATCCCTCCTCGCACCCGCCTACACCTGGCCTGGATCTCAAGCGTCCCCGGCGCAAGAAACCTCGGCCTCGTCGCCCTCCGTTGTCTTTCCGGGTCTCGGATGACGGAGACGCCCACGGCTGCTTGGACGGTTTCTAATCTTGACCTACATGGACTTGCTTCATTGTTGATACGACACGACATGATACTTATTGTTCTTCTACTTCACTGCTACCAGATAGCTTCAGTCAGTCTTTAATATTAATGCATGTTGTTGTTTCCAAGGTGGCTAGTGCAAGTTTCGGCCACAAGTGACATTGGAACAGGCAACACAGGTTTGGTGGATGACATTCCTACGACTGAAACATACTTACGAGTGCGCAGTTCATGTGTTAGCTGAGGTACTAAAATTTCTCGCTGATTGCCTGCTGCAGTAAGAAAAGGCGATAGTCGTCAAGCCCCGCATACCCTCCAGCATTATTTCTGAGCGAATGAACCAACGCCCCCCATGAATCACCTTCGTCATCGCGCCTGAAAGCGGCTCGCAATTCCCCAATAGTATTGATGCCACGATAATGAAACAGTCCAATATTGGCCGAGAAATCCATCGTAGGTTCGATATGGGATAAGAAGTGCTCCAGAGACATGTTGGGAGTGGGTACAGAGCATATGTTGCGAGCGCTTTTCGATTTTCGGCTCGTCGGTCTCATGGCTGTTTGGTCGTGCGCTTTCCGAGTTGCCTCATGATCAGGGCTATGTAGATTCGCCATTGTGTTCCTCTTGGCCTGACGTGCTGCCACCGCTGTTGAGTCTTCGTTCTCGATAAGTTGTGCCAGTCGAATCTTATCAACAGTCTCGTGGTCCACGGATTTGTCATCTTGGTCATTTTTTATGGCTCTCCATACCGCCGAATAGCCACCGCTGCTGCTAGGCGGTCTCTGCAAGGCGGTCGTCGTGATCTCTAACCCGGTCCATCCACGCGCATACAGGATGCGAGCCAGTGCGCACTCTGCTGGGGACAACACTGAACCTTTTGAACGACGAGAAGTCAGAATCGGATCCGGAACTGTTGCAAGCTGAATTGGCGCACTGCGAAAATGTAAGCATCTACGACACACAAAAGAGGAGTAACCTACTCGACACGGCTTCTCAAGACATATCTGTGTGCTCTCGAGGCACGACCAATTTCGCCAGATGCCTCTTCCGAGTCACCAGATTCATCCCCGTCTCTTTGCTCGTTCTCCGTCTTCGAAGGGGAAATGAACTCGCTGATTCAGAAACAGAAGGAAAGCAACAGACCCTTGCGTTATTCTCCATCGCCAGCAGCTCCTGCAACCATCCACGATCGACGAGGCCGTCGTCGTCATTAACCTTGTCCTGATTTGCTTCATAGGCGTAGTTTCCGAGTCCATGGACGTTGACCTGCTTAATATTCTTCACGGCACGATACACAAACATGTACGACATCTGTGTTTTCTGGGAAATGGTTGGCTGAGACCAGCCATGTTGATTATGAAGAATTCGGCACAAGGCCCTTTTTGCACGGGATGCTCTCTGACTGACTGTCTGAAAGCGGTGGGGAGTTCAGTGGTGAGGCAACCGAATGGGGACAGCCATACTCAGTGCCATGCGACCCTGGGTTGCCGCCTCGAATTCAGTATAAGGATGTTTTGCGAGGGAGTAGACCTACCATTAATAGATAAAGTTGGACGTCGACGGTCCATATCAGGGGGCAGACTCGGGAGTGACTTTGCTGGGTAACTTGAAATTTGAAGAAAGCCTTCTCCGGGCCCTACTGAGAGTTGAGAGTGGACGTTAGGACCAAGTGGGGACGTGGCAGTGTTTTCATTGGCTTGTTTGGAAGGCAACTGCGGTCGGGAAGTTTGCAACTTTAAGTTTAAGCTCAAGATTACGAGTACTTCATCACCTTGCTTTGCAAGGTCCCTCCCCGGTCTATATTCGCCACATCATGATGTGTTGATGGGTCTGCAGCCAAACAACACCAAACTCCACCCGAACCAAAAACCCCCAAACCTCCGTAGTTTCCTCGGGGAATCTCTTCACTGCCACTGATTTGTCACCGGACTTTTGTCATCCTTATATGATTCTGATGGTGAATGACAGTATCTTGGAAAACTCATAGAAAACTATGAGATATACACTTGTACATAGCCTTATATATCAGGAGTTCATATGAAAATAATTCTAATTATACTTTTTCAGTCTGTTGTCCCAATTGGGAAGGAATCAGTGAGATTAATTTTGATGATCTGTTGTCTTGGCTCAGTCTGGATTAGGTTAAAACAGAAGTTATCTGATGGATTTGATGATATTATAGTTTTTCTATGCTTGCACTTCATCCTTGATAATATTTTTAAAAAATATGCAAAGTCCTGAGAATCCTTTATTCTATATAATAGAACTACTGCAATAATAATAATCAATTCAAATGATATTTTTAAGTGTAATATTCAATACAAAAAATTAGAATTAAAATTATTTTATGATTGGGAAGTTTTTGGCATTATATCCACCCAGAAATATCATAAATTACTATTTTAGGCATAGGAATATAAATAAAATGACATGACATATGAGAAATTTTGGATAATATTGCAGTGTGACATGTGACATGTAAACTGAATGAAATCATATCTTATTCAATTTGTTAGGGCCTGAAGGCTATGATATGCCTAATGAACCTGGCAATTGGTTTAGACTATCACATTAGGCAATTTTGGCACCTCCAGCACCAGAACAGAGGAAAATTGCCTCATCTGGATGTCTTTAAACAAAATATGAGCGGATGAGTGTGACCGATGAAAAAATTAACAGATTGATGTGCATGTCCACTTGTTGTTTCATATTAGAATGAACAGTCCACTCAGGCTGTGGTAGGTATCACTTGTCAAGCTTCAGATCGGGCCGTACAAGGCTTCTCCTGAGAAGCACACGTCTGGAACAGAACAGATGGATAGTTGGGCCCACAAGCAGACCAAGCAGGGTCGAATCAAACCAAAAGGGCCGACTTGTCATAGATAAGACCCAGCCTGTCTGCTCTGGCGCTGATGTCAGGCCATTGCGGGTCTGTAACATGCAGCACGTGATGATGGGGAACAGGCGCCCCAGTAGGAGGAACACACATGTGGGAAGCATGTGACCAAGAACGATGTGTCAAGCCGTTGCCAAGCCGAACTCAATACCAGGGGATTAGGAAGGAGTGCTAGGAGGTTAGGAGTAGCTCAAACCTTCGACAACCGACCATGACAAGGGACCACATTAACAGGCCCTTTTGGTTCAATTCTACCCCACTCGCTCCGCTTGTGGGCCTGACGATCTGTCTGTTCTGTTCCAGGCACAGGTTCTTAGGAGAAGCCTTGCACGGCCCAACCCAAAGCCTGACACATCTGAAGTCAGTGTTAGGTTTGAATCAGGTCATTTCAGGCCTGATAAGTCAGTGATGCCTCCTTGCACAGAGAGAAGTGGTACAATAGATGATCTCAGCGCAGTTGTACACTATCACACCTTATATACACAGGCCTGCTAAGGGGTGATTGGACACCCTTGGCCTCTTCTGCTCCTTCTCATCCCTGTTCCTGGCTGCAGAGGGGACGATCATACATCTCTTGCAGGCCAGGCACTACTTCTAGCCTTCTAGCACTCCTCCCCAATCCCTCTTGTACTGTAAGTTGGGCTTGGCGTCAGCTAGTGATTGTTATGGGCCACCTGCGAGAAATTGTAGGGTGGCCCATACCCGTACCTGTGGTCGGCCCGTATCCACAAGCATGGGTGCGGGTATCCGCCTCTTCAGATGCGGGCCGCCTCGGGTGGCCCACGATCCTGCCGGCCTGTAGGCATCTGAGGCGGTCAGGTGGTCCTTCGCTGGCGACGAGGAGATCTCTGATGCCTTCTGCACATCAGAGATCTTGCTTGTCGCTTGGAAGAGCACTAAGCTCTGCCCCAGCTCCCGGCCCCGGAGTGTCCGGTGGCTCGGCACTCCTACAGCCGAGACCCGCAGGCCTGAGTGCGGGCCTAGAAATTCTGGGAGGCAAGCCTGTACCCGCACCAAAGGAGGCCCGTACCCGCGGCCCGTAGTGGGGCACACCACCCATGACAATCACTAGCATCAGCCCGACATATTGTTCTCAGTCACATGCTTCCCATGTGTGCGTTCCTCCCTACTGGGGTGCCTGTTCCCTGTTGTTACGTGCTGCGTGTTGTTGGAACTTGGCCCTCGGTGGCTTGACACTAGTGCTAGAGTGGATGGGCCGGGTCTTATCCGTGACATCACTCAGCTTATGTTTTATTGTCACCCATTCCCTCTTTATTGCTCAACTTTCATGTTTCCCTTAACTATAGTATTTCAATCAAGTGTCTGTGTTACATGTTACACAGCAAAAAAAAAAAAAAACTCCTTGAAAAAAATCACTAAAATTAAAATTAAAACTTTCAGCCTTTTCAGGCACAAAAAAAAATAAAAATTGGCAGACAGTTGACACTTTCCAATTGTTACTTTGAGTGCAAGGGTATTGTGGCAATTTACTTGGGCCACTAGGAATTGTCAAAAAATTCTCCATTCTATTATTTTTTATGCTAGAGAGCCCTAGCACTGAGGGCTAAACAAACAAATGGAAAAACAATATGACACAAGTTTGTTTATAAATTATGATTAAAAGCTGCACAATAGCTAAAGAAAGGACCAAATCAAGGGAGGCCCAAAGCAAGGTCCAAGTCGGCAAGGCCGGCACCTAGTATGTAATCGTCTATCAATATGTGTCGTCCGCGTTTCAGGACCTCGATCTAGAGACTACAGTACGCCCGGGCACATCTTGATTGCCGGTTAGTGGTGATGTGACACCTCCAGAAGGATTCACGTTCTCATTTTCCCATGGCCTGGCAAATTTTTGATGAGTGCATAAATCGAAAGCTTTTGGTTGTGGCTACCTGCTGATAAAGTATCTAAGAAATCGGACAAGAATTGACAGAGTTGTGATTTTGTGAGGGTCAAAAAAGTGAAACATCGTGAGAAACTGGGCCTTTTAGGGCGCAGATTGATGCCGTGTTACCCGGAAAGTCGTGGAAATGCATCTTTTACCCAAGATCTGTTCCCTAATGAGGCTGAAATGCCAAAAAAGACCATATTTGAGAGGAGTCACAGATGTCACACTTTCGTTACTCTGTCACCGTTTATGGTCAAATCGGCCGATGACAGGATTGATTGAGTGAAAACTGTGTCTTCGCAATACTAATAGTTTGGATCACGGCGGATTCTGTCCAAAAAAGGTAGAAAATCATCAAAAATGTTGCATGAAGGTCAGAAAAAGTGAAACATCGTGGGAAAATCCGAGGTGAAAGCATAAAACGACGTTTTTCGGCGAGCTGAATCCAGAAAAAAATATTACAAAATGCCAAAAAATTTCCCCGGCCTTGCCGGCCGGGGTAAGAGATGTGCCCGGGCGTACTGTAGAGTAATCTATTTTTGTAATGAAATTTGTTGACCTAACCCTAACCCTTGTGATGAAAATTGTGATCTGAAAATGGAGGCTTTTTGGACTTAGCTGTTTCTAACTTCGCTTCTGTCTGCACTTGCAATTCTGTTAGGTCATGGCTGATACAGCGCCGCCCAGACCGTCGTTGGGCTTTCTTCAAGTTTCTTAGCTAAAACCATGCCCTACGCTTTCCGATTCGAGACCACTGTGGTAATTCTATCCTATCCTGTATATCCTGGCGGGGGTGTACTTAGTTGGCGGGTAGCAGGGATTTGGCGGGGAACCCGCTTGCCGCTCGCCTTGTGCGCTGCTGAGTTCTTGCCTGACGATGGCGAATTGGCGAGTCCCCTGTTTGGCATCATCGGGATGGAGTGGAACAGCTTCCGGCCCGCTCGCCAACCACCGGCATGTGGGTTGGCTGGGACCGACGTGCAGCAGCGGGCCCGTGCGGCATCTTGTTAACGTTGCCTGTATGTATGCAGATCGTGCTTGGTAGTCAGCGAGTGTTTTTTTCTTCTTTAAATTAACTGATTATGAATACTCGAAGTACTCGTGTTCTTGCCATTTATTGGCCTCAAACCCAAGTAATCAAATGAAGGTCGTTGGTTGATGAGTCGTGTGCACGTGATAATAGTATTGAAATTAATATGAATAAATTCTTCCCCATGGCCATCGTCGCAGGATCACGACTCCACCTAGGTAAACAAGCTCTCAAGATACTATTCTGAAAGTGCCATCAGCCTCTCCAGTCCCGTCTGTAGCTGTAACCAGGGCTCCTCCTCCAGCTCTCCATACGCAATATCAAGAAGCACACCAAGCGGTTTCCAGTCCAAATTGTCGAACGCATTTCCCTCTGGTAGTGCACGGATGACCTCTTCCACGAATTTGACACAGATCGGGATCGTGTGTTGCCTATTCGCAATGGCGATGTAAAACGCCTCAAATATATGTGACTTTTCGGTGAGGTGGTAGTCTTTGGAGCCGGTTGCAGCGAGGATGGTCTTCATTTCGCGGAAATAGTGCTGGCGGTACCGGTGTAGCTCTTCCGGTGAATTCTCGCGATCGGAATGAGGCCAGTGATACATAAGTGGGTCCCAGTCCCGCGTAATCCAGCCGGGGAATCGTGCAAAGCCGAGATAGTCGGGCATGGTCTGTGCGTTGTCCCAGTCGATGAGCCCCGTGACGTTGCCGTCGTCGTCGACCATGACGTTTTGCGAGTCGAAGTCGGGCATGGTCAGTGTGTAGTGGGGCGGAGTTTGGGGGAGGTGAGGGAACATTGCTTCGAGAATTTTAGAGCAGGCAATCCCGTAATGATCTTTGGGATTGCGGATTGTCGGTGTCCAGCTATGCCGTAGCCAGGAATCGCTTGTCGAGAATGGCCCAAACGATGTGACTCCAACATCGTCTGGGTCTTCTTCTGGCTGGACCCAATCGAAGCACGGGCCAATGCTGCTCATAGTATTTTCGGAGGGAAGTGGAGGCAGCAGCGACCCGATCGCTTCGAAGCGTAACTTTCCAAGTTGACAAGAAAAGCCAGCGAGTTGCGAAAGTATTTTCAGACGTCTCTCCTCAACACCCCCATCGTTGTTGAACCACATTTTCCCGACATTGACACCAGGAATATATGCCATGGCAATATACGGGGCAGATATTTCGTTGTTGTCGGTTCCGTCGAAACAGTAGACTTCTGGAATCGGAATGGTAGTGTTCGCGCGGATGTGTCGCATAGTCTGCACTTGTGACTCGATAGCCTGACATGCTACGCCCTCTAGACTGCCAGACTTTCCGGTGATAGGCACGCGAATAACAATTTTATGCTCTCCATCAAACTCGAGGATGTGGACGATGTTGAAGGACCCAAAGCACTTGTCGATGATACGAGACTCGGAGGTCGATGTAAACGTGATTTTTAAGATGTCGTGAAGAATTTTCTCGCCGAGAGCGAGGAAGTCGTCAGACTTGATGTTTAGTAGTCTTCCAAACTCTTCATTTTCATCTTCTGACTCAGCGTCTGACGAGCTTGAAGTTGGAGGAGAGGATCCCATCGATGTAAGGACTGACCTGATGAAATTGTCAGTCTAAGTAGCGCCAGTGTAGCGCCCGTAAGGGAGAAATATTGACCTGTCAATTACCTTAACCCACAGCGGAACTTTCACTCAGTGATGACTGCAAACCATCCACTACGACGCTGAATAAAGCGACACAGAGGATATTTGGAGGTCAATGTGCTAATAGAGTCGAGGTGTTGGGATGCGATGAGAACGATTGGTAGTGCGAGACATATGTGACATCTGTGACTAAACGTGACTAAACGCGCCAGACTTCCTCCACGATGTATAGTTCGTCAGCTGCGCTCCAAAAGGCCAAACGGCGGACCCACACGCGTCCCGAGCTCTCAGACGAGCAGAAACAAGAAATAAAAGAGGCTTTCGAGCTGTTTGACACAGACAAGGACGGTGCCATCGACTACCACGAGCTTAAAGTCGCGATGCGGGCGTTGGGGTTCGACATGAAGAAGGCCGAGGTGCTCAAGCTCTTGAGGGACCACGACAAAAACGGCCAGGGCGTGATGGAGTTTGAAGATTTTGCGAGAATAAGTGCGTTGTTCCTTCTCTTGTTGTTCTCCTAGATTGACTGGCTTAGTGGCGGACCGCATACTTGCGCGAGACCCTATGGATGAGATACGACGAGCGTTCCAGCTGTTTGACGACGACAACACTGGCAAGATATCGTTGAGGAATTTGCGTCGAGTGGCGAAGGAAATTGGAGACAGATTGGAGGATGACGAGCTGTACGTCTGCGTGTTTCTTTTATTTCTCCGCGCCCTGACTTTTGTTTCAGACAAGCGATGATAGATGAGTTTGACCTCGACCAGGACGGCGAGATCAGCGAGCAAGAGTTCTTTGCCATCATGACCGACGAGACGATTTGACTTGCTTTCCGTGCGTGTTTCACTTGCCAGAGTTTTTATTCACATTTACAATAGGTATTGCTGTCTGTACCACCTTCCACTGTATACTAGACAATTTGTCCTTTACTTGGTCTGAACAACCTGCCACTCAGCATCCTTACCCTCTCCACCTAACTTCCGTACCGCACCATCTTCCTCGAGTTTTTTCATGTGCAAATCCACACTATGCGCAGCGGGCAGCCACAACGACTCTGGATACGACTTGTAGAGTGTTGTGACCATCGTCCATGTCGACCACGGTTTCTCATCCTTTAGCAGCTCTAAAAGCTGGTTTTCGCGGTCTTGGCGGTGGGCTATATAGGTCTCTATAAGCTCCTTTCCTTGGACAACTACGGGCCCATGGCCAGGGTACAACTTGTCGGCACCCTGCTCCCTCGCAAACGTCAACATTCGCTGGAGACTGCGCATATAGGCGGCAAGGTCTTCGAAAACAGCGGTTCCTTGGCCAAGGACGGTGTCAGCAGTATAGAGGGCTTTATCGCTGGGCACGTGAAGAGCGATTGAATCAGTGGTATGGCCAGGAGTGTGCAAGACGCGAAGATTGACGAGGGCTTGCCCGTCAGTTAGCTCGTGGAATGGATTTCCCGCAGGCGAGGAGGTGTAGGAGTCGGGTGGAAGGGACGCGAGGATTGAAGGCAGTTGGTCATGGGCATTTGGGGTTTGCAGAGAAGGGAACTTGTGAAGACGTGGAGGTTTGAATGGAGCACCACCATTTCGCTCGTTCCATAGTTGGCGAAGCAGTCCAAGCACGGCGGGCAGTCCACCAACGTGATCTCCATGCCAATGGGAAATAATGATGTCCGAAACATCCACTTCGTGCTCATCGCTCGCGCTTTCTTTACCCGCATCTTGCAACGCAGTTTCAAGCAAGGGGGTGTACTCCACCCGCCCTTCCCCAGTGTCGACCAGCGTAAACGGCCGTTTCCTGCCAATTATGTACGTGTTTGTCCCCTGCAGCGTGAATTTGCCTGGATTCTTGGACAGATTACCCCTCCGATTGCATCTGCTTTTCGAGATGACCTACCTGTCCAAGAACGCGGACTACGTTTTCACTAAGCTATTCGGAGTTTAACCAAGTTTGTTGCGAGATATAAGATGATGGCTTTACCCTCGAAATGGAGGCCAGGGCTTCAAGGTTATTCATGGCGAATATCCGGAGACAAGGTCCTTACGGTCACGTGTTTGATCCCTCCCTTACCTCAACCCCCATAACGAAGTTGCGATGGATTCTTATGAGAAGTCAGCATTCTTATCTGCTCGTCGAACAGCTGATTTCTGGACATGGACCCCTGTCTCAGCTATCATGGTCACTCGCCCTTCTGAACTTGAAAGAGCCATCGTTGTGGACTATCTTGATCACATTCCAGGCCTCAAAGCATGCGCCCTCGTCTGCTCACGGTTCTGCTACTGGGCCCAGTCACGTCTTTTCCGCAAAATTGGAACGGGTTATGAAACGCTACCAGGGAGTCCACCCGAGCCTAGCCGTTGTATGAGGCGTGTCCATCGCTTGCTGGCCATCCTTGAAAATTCTCCACACATCATCTCCCATATTCGCACTCTGAGGATACATGAGAGCTCTCCTACTCTCATCGACTTGTTGGCCTCCCGACAGTGGAACACACTCAGAACTCTCCATATCTGCGGGCTCCAGCTTGATGACTATGAAAGCGCGCTCGGTGGTCTCCAACGTCTTGTCTCTTCCCCACGGCTGAATATCCTCGAATTTGAATGCTCCCAATGGAATCCAGAGTTATTCTGGAATGTAATGGCCCACTGCTCCGCCAGTGTTAGCCAGCTCATACTCATCAACTGCTGTACGCGCATGCCACTGCAATATCCTCGTCTCCTTTTGCAGGCCGTCAAAACACCGGCACGAATCACCACCCTTACTTTAAGGGGAGCAGGAAATGCTTTACCGGTTCTCCTCGACCCTCTTTTCCCCCTTGATCTGACCCACCTCTCCGCTATCGACTACTACAACTCTCCAAACAAGTTGTTGGAACCCTTCCTGGCGCGACATCGATCCATACGTTCCTTCAAAATCCACGTAGTGGATAGTACTGTCCAAAATTTACCCCTCTCCCTTCCATCGATCACGCACCTCGAATTCCAATTTACTTTGACGGCCTTCTGCGAGTGGGGCCCGCTTATGAATCTGCCTCTCCACAACAGCGTCGAGAAGCTGACGCTGACGACCTTCCATAACCTCTGGCAGGATAACTCTTGGTTTCGAGCCCAGAACCAAATAGCGGGGTACTTGGACGCCCTCGTTGCCCCGGGTAAAAAGCTTGCGGGCATTCGCATGGTGGTGGTCGAGGTCAGCCGCCAGCCAAGAACCGTGGACTTCAGTCGCGCTGCTGTCGTCAAAGCCATGGAAAGTTCTATGCCCATTCTCGCCAACTCGGGCCGACTTTCCGTCGTTTTCGAGGATGCTGAGTACGTGCACCCGTGGAAAGAGGATGATATCGATCTACGCCAGATTGGATAATCATACCACTACGAACTTCATCGACTCGTGCGAGTAGTGCTACTGACAAAATGATATTGTGCTTGATCATGCCCACTTGTTATTCCCTGCCAACTTGAACGCAACAGCAAGCTTTCCATCTGCGGCAAGCCGGGGCATTGCACGCTCGATGGTCCTCGTAATCTCCAAGGCCACATTATTTGTCCTCACCGCAACTTCCACGACCAACGTGTCCATCGAGGTGAGCTTCTGAATCACCGCCTCCTCAATCTGGGGCCCCAACTGTTGCTCTATTGTCAATCGCCCATCCGAGTCGTTGTCTTGGATCGGCCAGCACTGCTCAAATGTCGTCAATCTGAGAGTTTTGAGGTGGGCTGGGTATACGAGTTGCGAGAGAACGTCGCATATGGTGTTCCCACAGAACTGGCACTGGAGCTCGGTGATGGACGGCAGGTCCAGCGGAAATTTCTGCAGGGTGGGATCTGAGCACTATTTAGTACTTGATGCGTTCGATGGGGAACTAAGTACTTACCATAAGCGTCAACCTTCAAGCAGGTGAGTTCGTTACACTGCTGGAGAAGCGGAGTCAGTAGGGTGTGCGGTGATTTGTAGTACTCCAGTATGGTCAGCTGGCTTAAATCGAGTGGGGAATGAGGGCCTGATAGCATTTCGATAGCATTGGAAGCGCAAAACAGGCTGAGACGGCGAATTTGAGGGCGAGATGACCTCAACGGAAGTTGACAGTCCAACTTGGACTCCTCGTTGGAATTGGTCCACGGAAAAGTGAGAACTTGGAGGTGGAGATCTGCGACGGTCGATGAACAGTGATGCAGCATGTTCCAAACCGCCGCCTCCATATGAAGAAGACTAAGCTGGAGAGTTTTCAGAGCTGGAGAGGAGATGAGATGTTTCATTGTGCGAGCGACTGCAGCGTTAGTCAATCGGATGCCATGGACATGGAGCGTATTGAGGGTGTTCCATTGTCGAGGCACTAGCAAATCCACGAAAGTCCGGGTATGGGCGGTTGCGTCTATCCAGAGGATTTGAACATACGAAGCGATGTGTGGGGAAACATCTAATATGTTAAGGAGGTGTTGCCATTTCAAGTTGTGGAGGTCGCAGAGATGTATGCTGCGAAAGAGACACGTTTGGGCCCAGCAGCAAAATCGCCCGCAGACTAGTGCGCAGGTTTTAAGCGCCCTGGCATCGTCTAGATGTTCGACAACGATGAGTCGTTCAAGTTCGGGAGGAAGAGACATGCTATTCTGAATCTTCACCGCCACGCAAGGAAACCGAGAAAAGGAGCTCGAAGTCTATGAAACATTGGTTCATTTGCCTTCTGAAGATTCTGAATGATAAGGGAAGTAACAATGACCCTTCAAGTATTCAGCAGTCGAGTTATGGCTTTCCAAAACTACTAGTAGATACTTTTATTAGAGCGTCGCTGAGCACAGAGAAAATGCCACACCGTCAACTGCCACAGGCAACGATGCGTCTTGCTACCCCCCAGCATTTTCGATGGATCAAGTACAGTGATACGTTGGCATGGTTGAGAACATGAAGTTGTTCTGGTGGGAAGTTAAGTAGCCAAGTCACGTGCCACCCACTTTTCTGCTCAGCCTGCCACAACTCCAACTCGGGCACGATTCGAAAGACAGCTCGGCGGCCTTCAAATCTCTCGCACGGCTCACAACACGATATGACCGCTTCCCCCGACTATGGATGACGAGTTCAGTGGCCGACGTTCCCCGTTTGCTGACTGTGCCCATGGCGGAGAGCATATAAACAACCCAAGCTTGACGCTGCAAGCCAGTTATCAAAACAATCATGACGGTCAGCCTCCCCGAGACATTCGATGCCTATGTCCCCAGCAATCTCAAAGCTCTCTTCCAACTCGCACGACTCATTCCTACCTATGTGTCCTTTGACACCTTGCAGGAGGCAGTCCCTCTTGACGCAGAACACGCTTCTTCCTTCGATTATTCCAAAGAACTTGTGCCTCACGAGGGCTTCATCCACTCCATTCGATGCTTCTACTTCGCACTGGGCATCCTTTACAGCGGGTTTCCCTCCAACACTCCGGGAGTTCCGCAAATTGCTACCAACGAGCTCATCCAACGGCTGTACCATACGGCTCTTTTGCACGATCTCGGGTGGACAGACAAGCCCGAGGGACTTAACCATCCTGCCCACGCGATGACTTTCGAGCTACATGGCGGAATCATGGCTTTTGAGCATTTGCAAGCCCAGGCGCCGTCACTCGATGCCAAACAGGTCGCAGACATCGTACAAAGCATTGTACTCCACACCATTGGCCCCGATTGGGCCTCGGGCACTTCTTCAGCGACTGCGATGCTCATGTCACTGAGCGCCTGGTTCGACGTGGGCGGATACGACATCGAAGGCCCCGATTCACGTGACTTCATGATCCATCGCGAGACCGTCCGCGAGGTCGAAGCGGCCTACCCGCGCGGCCAGTTCGCTGCTGAAGCGACTGAGATATTTGGGAACGAGTTCAAGAACAAACCGGATTGCCTTTTGTCTCATTATCCTGGTGCTGTGTGTCGTTTTGTTGCTTGCCGCGGTTTCTAGGGCTGATTTCTCGATAAGCCAGGTAATTTTTCCAAGGTTTTGCGGGTGGACCCCATTGTCGAGTAGCGTGACCCGCTAGTTGTCCTCCACTCTGCTGCGATTAACAGTTATCTCCACTATACACGTGTCTGACTCAAATATACTGCTAATCAACTGCTAATCATAACCACAGCTTTGTCTGCGTTTCCGTGTTGATCTGCCTGTTGCATCAGGAAAGAGGACAATGACCATGTCGAGTGCCTACGGTAGCGGAACGAAGTGTCGCGTCTTTCAGATATGGTGAAGGGGTCGAAGCATTCTGTGAGCATTCGTAAAATTGCCAAGATCTAAGCCAAGCAATGCTTACAGTAAACGGTCGCTGAGACGGCCGACTAAGATACAGCAACGGCGCGGGGCTTTCTCTACCCTTGACAGATGAGGCTTGTTGGTGTTGCCTGATGCTATTCCGGGTGTTGAGACTGAAAAAAAACGATCAACATCGCAGACAGGAAACTCATTGCGGCCACAAACGCTGCGAGGAGGGAATTGGCATAGACTGTAATTGGTGAATACGCATAGGGAAAACACGGATGGAACTCACGTTTCCCGATAACAGCGTAGATCCCCAGGAAAATGAGGTTGTTGGGTTCCAGTAACCACTAATCCCATAAGCCTTCATACGGTACTCATGGTGCCGCGACTTACGAATAGCATAGAGGCAACCGTTCCCAAGCTGTGTTTTCAACTCGCATTAGAATTGCTTCAAAAAAGGGCGAGCTAGTGACTCACCAAGTCAGTGAACCTATTCGAGATCAGTTGAAATCGTCCAGTAAGCGCTCAAAAATGCATACCAGCCTCAACTCCATACAAGATCAGCTGATCCAAAATATGGTTCATCCTACAGAATTAATTAGTATGAGTATCATCAACCCAGATTGTGGCACCCACTGATCGGTACCCTTCCGATTTGTCTGGAAGAGAAAGACCAGAAGACCGGTGATGAGGACGTCCAGGACGGCCGATACCGCAAGTCCAAGGGTAAAGATCCACTGTGACGGCAAGATATCAGAACCCAGGTATAAAACGAATCAGACACTTACACGTCCATGGATCCGGAAAAGTGAGAAAGTCGGATAAGCAAACCTATTGACTTGAAGTTAGTCCTCCTCGCATGTTCCTATAGCCGCGTACATTTTAACGGTGGTAACTAAACAGATGGTCAGAAACACTCAAATTATGACTCAAAACCACTGACTGGAGGCGGAGACTGGTCGAGATTGAATTTCCATGCAGTAGAGCAAATCATTGAGGCAGCCACGTACCGAGTCTGAGGACGGTGAGAGTAAGCTCCAGAGAAGTCAGAGTCGGGGACAGGTTCGATTTTGGATGCAGCACGTACGACAGGTAAGACCATGAACCAGTTCTTCTTGCTCAGGCGGAAGATTCGCAGCGCAAAGAAGCTGATCAAAGACTAATTTCAGCTCACTGTCAATACGGAGTGGTGGATTGAGCTCTACCCATGGGTGAGGACAGTTATCGTTGCCTGTGAGCAATTTGGTCAGAACTGGTTGCACCGAAATGAGAGCACAAACAGTCGTTATTACGATTAGCTGAACAATTGATGAGCGATAAAGGGTATTTTACAATCGACTCACGGGTAAGAACCTGCAGTACCCCTGTTTATCAGCAGAAAGATTGACACAACAACAACAAGCACTTGCCAGGGTATGCGGTCAAGCTTTGCTGGCTGGCCATAGTTCTCTACAGCGGCGAACCAGACGGCGCACCATATGAAGGCAGTGTGGATATTGTCGAGAACCCTATGCGCTGCGCATAAGTGTCGGTGATAACACCCCCAAGATGGTGGGCAAATCAAACGCACCAAATCGCTAAAATCTACCGAAACCGTGACTCGTGGTTCATATATCAGATAAGCCTGCTCATTATCCACGCACCATCACCTTCATTGCCGCAGGGTCTTTCTTGTACGAACGGTAGTAAAGCATGCTTTGAAGATTCACCATGCCTCCAAACCTATATCATGGTCAGTGGCTCGGTTGCGTTGCCTGGATTGAGACCACGTACATCGAAGCTAAAAGCGCCCCAAGAAGCATCGCACCTAATGTTTTCGGCAAGAGGTTCGATGGTGGAGCAATCATTATTGGAACGGACGAAGGGGAAGTGGTAGTATAGTTGGAAGACATGAACGACAGTTGGCAAAGGCAAAGGGGAGAAGCAGAAGAATCGATTTCGCCTGTCCAAAGGGGTCGGCCTCTTATGGCTGCTCCAATTTTAAGCACGGAATGACGTCCGAGAAGGCGCTATCCACACTCCGACGTGCAACAAGTTTAGGGCACGTAGAAATGAAACCAGGGATCAGGGCAACGTCAGATGCGTTGTTATTGGCGACTCTCTGAAGAATGAACGGGAAAGCGTAGCAGAGCAAGAACGAGCTTCTTGTCCATTCATGGAGGACAGATGCAACACGTCGTCCAAAAATGAAGTCGTTTGTCTGTGGCGGGTTGGGAAGGGTTGAATTGTTGGGATTTGAATACCTCCGGAGGTACATGGAACAGCGGCTAAGCCTGAATAGTCGTGCAAGTCCACAAAGCACATTGACACGTCATCCGAGTCACGTTTCAAGGAACGTCTATTATCGACTTGTTATTGAGGAGGGTACAACTGCTTGGAAGATGACCCTGGGGCCTACATCGATTAATCCCTCCACGCATGGTTCGCTCTGATTCCAACTGGTTGCTTCGTTTCAAGATGCGCAATGCATCTATCTGCCGCCAGTCAAAAAAGACGCCGTCTCCTCCCCGCCAGAGAGGAACTGCCCCAGTAGGTGAGACAATGTCTCTGCACCATCATCGAGATTCGGCAATAATAACCCCGCAGAAAACCAGCCATGCCTTTTGGCGGCCTCCGCAGTCAACCGTTGCTCCGGCGGATACACAAGACAGCCCTCTATCAGCTCCAGCAGCTCGGACGACTTTGGGGGAAGATTGGGAAGAAATTCCTGCAAAGGAACACGAGGCACGACGGTAAACTCGACGCTGGACGACCCAGGTAGGTCACGGAATGCTGGCCAGGTCTCTTCGGTCGGTGTGCCTCTGATTTTGAATATGCTCCATGCAAGCCCTATTTCGCCCCTTCTACCATTGAAGAGTGTGTCGTGATACCATTCGGTCGGGGTTGGAGAGGGTTTGAAGACGAATGGAGGATTGCCTGATTGAGCACTGGCCACAGGTTCGTCCTCTTCAGCTTCATCCTCATAACGAAGCGTGGTACACATCTCCGCGAGGACAGTCCCCAAACTCCACATATCTAGCGTTGTGGCGTCATAACAACGGGTGCCGAAAAGTAACTCAGGCGCGCGATAAGGACTGTAATAAAGTGAGCTTGTGATTGAGAAGGACAACGGAAAACTTGCCCAGTGGATACTTCAAAATACATGTGGTCCGTTTTCTCTGGCCACAAGTCACCCGCATTACCCTCCTCGTATGCGATGCCAAAGTCGATTAGCACGACACGACCCTCTGGTGCTAGGAGGATATTTGCCGGTTTGACATCTCTATGTGCTATTCCCTCCCTATGAAGAAACGCGAGCGCGTCTAGAGCTTGGAACGTGATGGACTTTGCGACGGTTGTAAACCGCCTGGCTTGCTCGGAGTCCGGAGTTGGGCCAGGAAAAGAGAAGGGCGAAAATGTCGGCCGAGAAAGGAGTTGGGCGAGCGAGTACGGAATATAAGGGAGGTATATTGTGAGCATTGACGCGTCCTCGTCCTTGAAATGGGACAACACTGGGATTATCTTTTTTTTTTTGGAATTAGTGTGCAAGAGACAACAAGCAGACACCACGCACATTGCTATGGGCCAGTTTGGACAGTAGCCTTAGCTCTTTGACAATATCATGGGGCTCCTTCGCAAATTTGCGACGGTAAGTAGAAGACTTGGCGACGATCCATTCTAGCTCGCGGTCGTCAAATGAGGTCAAAGTGCGAGACACTGTGGAGGCAGGTCCTTCTTCTATTAAAACAAAATGGGGGTCGTCGTCCTCCTAGGCGCGTGTTCAGAGGAATATGGTGTCTACATCGACCGTAGATTCACCATCGTGGTTGGGAACAAAGTTGTTGGGCGGTGTGACCATTCCTTTCCTCCCCCTCATCTTCACGTTTTCCGATGGCCTCTGAAGAGGGCGCAAACAATAGTTCGTCTGTCTTTCAATCTCATCCTATTCTATTAAACGTTCCAAACCCACAGATCAGCGGTTACTAGCTGCAGCACGCGAGGACAACGAAGAGATGCTGTTGGAGGTCTTCGACCAGGGTGGATTCGACATTAACTTCCAAGACGGGTCAGTATTTATCTGAACACGCCCTCTTTCCTTAATCAAACCTAGACTTGGAAACACAGGCAAGCTCTCTGATCTCCCTAGCTGCTTTGGCCTCTCATGAGTCTTCAGCTTTGCATTACGCGTCAGGAGAACTTCCTCTGTCAGCCCCGCAAACCAATTAACCCACGCATCAGCGCCTCTCTAGGGTCCACCGACGTTTTAGAGCATATCCTCGAATGCGACGGGTGTGATGTCGATCCTATCAACCGACTGGAGAAGGCTACACCACTCCATCTTGCCGTTCGAATTGAGAATCCAGACCTACGAAGACGTGTAGTCACCAGCTTGTTAGAGGCCGGTGCTGACACAAGGCAAGCTCTTTCCTGACAAAACCAGCAATCGCTTAATTGAGCCAGAATCAAGGACAAGAATGGTGACACCGTATTAGACGTGCTCCCCGCTGATGCTGAAGAAATTCGAAAACTCATCCACAAGGAGCGTGCGCAAGGGGCAATCTCGCTGGATGATGTGGCGAATGGTGAGTTTACTCGGAGTTTTACTTTGCTTCTCTTGCTCACTAAATGACCAGATGATGACGATGAAGGCTCTGGTTCAGCCTCAGACGACGATTAGATCTTTTAAGACGTTTGGATGTCTACGCTTAGTTTCACCATAATGGTTCAAATCGCTTTGTGCTTCCGTCACCTGGCCTTGCTGACAGTCTCGCTTTCCCTACACTCCAAAAATGACTGAAGAGAGAACACACAGCCCAGCAAATGATATACTGCTACAACAATGCAAACAACGAGCGAAAACAACACCAACACTGACTATTCTAGCCCCATGGATTCGAACTACTGAACGCCGGCTTCTTCCCCCTCCCGATATCATTCGGAATTGTCCACGAATCAGTCGAGGTGGGTGCGGCAAACGCGTTGTGGGATATAGAGCCATCAACCCCGCCAAACGACAGGCCCGTTATAGAGCCATCGGCGCCACCAAAGGAAATCGATCCATCAGGCCCACCGAACGACAGCGTAGAAGACGCAAATGGGTTTGGTGTCGCATTGACAGCATATCCAAAGGAGGTCTGACTTGGGTTGGGCTTGTCCCACAAAGATGTATCAGCAAACGACGAGGCCTTCGCTGGTATCGGTGGCGGAGCAGCCTCTTCTTCAGACTCTGTCTCCGTTTCTGTCTCGTCTTCTTCATGAACGTCATTGACGGAGAGGGACCTAGCTAGTGACGTCGCGAGCTCGGGAGTAAGTGGTCGTTCGACAGCGGGTGGGGTAGGTAGAGGCGGAGGAGCCGATTCCGAGCGATAAGTGGGTGGTGGGATATGCGGCGCCTGAAATGGATTCTGCTCCGGCATTCTGAGCTCCTCAGGGTTTAGCTCCGCCTTCCCGAGGACGTCTTTGATGGCGGCAAAGTCAAAGCCAGCATGGGTCGGCACTTGTGCCTTACTCTCGCCCTCCACATCGGTTTGAGGCTTGGTTGGGCTTGCAGGGCTGTAGGAAGGAGGCGGCGAATCTATGCGAGGGGGTAACTCGTAGTCTTCGGCAGTAGCACTAGCAGCCTCTGTCGAACTATGATGCTTCGAAAAGGAACTGGCTGTAGGGGGTCGTGAAACGGATTGCGGTCGAGGCGGCGGCTTATTATTTGAGAACCATCCAGACTTCTTGTTTTTGTCTTCTTCCCGCTCCACGATCCGATCTCCCTCAAAATCAGGTTCCTCCGGAGCCAAGTCAGTAGAAGAAGAGGATAAGGTTCAATACGCAATACGCACAACCGGATCGTCGAAAAAGTCGGCAAACACCGGAAACCCAAGTTGGTCGAGAATGAGGGGCATGAAAGTACGGTAACTCATATGCCCCGCAATCTTATCGGTTACGTCGACATTCTCCAATCCAGGAACGTTTTCGACCGGTCGCAGTCCCGCGACTGTGCCAACTCCACCACTTGTTGCGCGGAACAGATAGTTCAAAACCCAGTCGTTTCGGGCATAGGCATTGACATATCGGCCCGAAACCACAGAACGAGTATCGCACCACATCTGAGTGGAAACAGAGAGTGTGGCACCCATAAGAAAAACGTCTTGAACAACCCCATAGGCCTTTTGCTTGGCGAGCTCGATAAGAGCGTAAAAGATGACACGGGCACCGAGAGAAAAGCCTATGAGAGTGATGGGTCGGACACCGAGATGTCGCTGCACCAAAACCTGAGCAAGCACGCTGCCGGCTGCTTTCGCTCTATCCAAAGCATTATTCCATGGATTATCGATGAGGTAACCTAGTTTCGTGAGAACTACAGACACAGTGAGCCTAGTTCTGGTCGATAATGGATACGAATACGCACTGATCGGCCATTGAAGGGCACTCATAAGAGCCGTCATGACTGTGGCTTGGAGCACAGTCTGACCAATTTGGGTGAGAACTTCGGTTGTGAGGATCTTCAGCGCGCTACCCGTCTCCTGAATCATCTCTGGCTCCCATAAAACGCTGAACACATCTCCAACCACTGGATCGAGGACACTGAACGGCAGCCTTACATCGTCCAATTTGCCTGTCATGAATCTGGAAGTAATGTTAGCTACGTTGATTGTTGTAGAGGGGTGATAACGACCCAGGGACGGTGAGGATGGCGCTGACTCGTTTGTTGTTGTGCAGCGGTAATATTTCGAAGGTGCGGACGAATTGTGTTCGGTTTATCATGCCCTTCATGGCGATTCCGGACCCCGTTAGCACTCCTCCTGTTGTGATTACAGCTGCTCCACCAGCGCCAGCAAGGAAGCCAGTGGTCCCTGTAATTCCGACAGTCCCCAAGGCAGCACCTAAACCAGCTCCAATAACGGGTGCAAGAAGACCCGCAGAAAGACCAATCACGAGGCCACCGCCCAGCGTTGCGAGCCCCAACATCATGTAGCGCTTCTTTCGTGCCGCCTTTTGGCGTCCTTCAATCACCTCTTGCTGCTCCATCTTGTCCACATCCTCTTGGATTTCCAGTGCCTCCGTCACTCGACTCTCGAATCGTACGACATCTATCCATCCCAAGCCTAATTTAAGCGCAGCTCGCTCGAGAAGTACCCGTGAACGCGCATCATAAACGCTGTCGGCAATAAGGATGAGGAAAAGATCGCATAAGACCGTCCATCGAATGTCGAGGGTGACGTTTTCGTCAGCAGTGGAGAGTGTAGTTGATACTCCAGGAATGGCGGCGGTGCTGGTATCAGCGAGTACTCGTGCGGTGGTTTGGAATGTCGCTGTGGCCGGTGTTTGGGGTATTGTTGGAGCCATGGGGGTAGGTGGGGCTTCAAACAAAATCTCGTCAGCCTTGGCCTTTCGCCTGGCTTCTGCAGGGTCGTACTCGGGATTCGCCACAGTGTGTGTGGTCATCAAAGCAGGAACAAGGTCCATAGCTTGAACACCGTGTTGAGAGAGACTCTCAATCATCTTCTGCTCTGTCCCAAGGTCTTCAGCGCGTTGTGAAGAGGCCTAGAGAGCGTACCTTGAGTTTGAACTTCCATATGATAGTACAACCGACCCATTATTTTCAGTGCCCACAGCTCCGTGTTCTGAACAGCGCCTTTGAACTCCTTGCGATTCGGACGTTTGAGGTCGTGGGTCATTTCTTGGGTAATGAGCGAGCAGAGGCCAACATATGCTATGCGTTGGGCCTCTGTGAGAAGATTCTTGGTGGCCTGCATCTGGCTGAGCGGGGTCATAGCCTTGTCCTCGTCAAATAGGTATTTTGTCCGCATATGAACCTCGTCAGACTCATCCTCGTCGTGCCCTCGCAGTCGCGTGTATTCGCTCTCGTTTTGATTGTCCAGCTTCGTCCTCCACTCGTATCCGCTGTCGTCAAAATCGATGAGGTTGCCTGTCGCATTCTTTGAGGACGAAACTTTGGCAGAGGTGTCGTAGTGGTATTTCTTTTGGTCTTCTTCGTCAAGACCACTCAGTGAATGATCCTCCCGTACAACCGGCATGTCCTCCCAGCCCTCCTCATCGTCATCGTCGATGTCGAAAGAGCCGATTGGCGCAATCGGGGCGACGACGGGCATGAGTGAAGGTGGTCAATGGTGAAACGTAAGATCAGTGGACCATCAAGCTGATGTAATACATCGACGACAACGACTTCACTAAGTACTACAAATGTTGTTGCAACTCGTTAGATTGGCCGACGTATTCTCGACGCTTTTTTGGGTCTTGGAGGCGGGGCTACACCGACCGAAACGGTATACTCGACTTGCTGGTCCACAAATACCTCCACCGTCTAAAAGGCTTGTCTATGACAAATCGACAGCACAAAAAACGCTTACCGAGCCATTCTCCTCGAGCTGCTTGTCCGTGGATGTCGCGCGCCGTATTGTGTGCTCTCCCTCACTTGCTCGCGGGCTTAATACGCCAGTTCCTGGTCGCCCAGACAGTGGAATTCCCATCGGCCGTTGACGATGCTTGTACCAATTGCGCAAGTTCAGGCTGTTGAAGCATGTCATCAGTGGGGTGAGGAAACTTAACCAAGAGCTCATACGTCGTCAATACGGAGTTGGAATAAACTGTGGTTTCAGTCGTTAGCTATACATATCGATCGCGAGGAACATAAACTGACGCTTAGCGACACAGAAGTAGATTCCAACCCAGACAAAGTTGTGCGGCATGCGGAGTAGCTTTGTAGGTATAAGCCCAATTAATTTGAGCAGCGTCGACAACACGTACACAAATGAGGGCGGTTAGAACGAGAGCGCCTCAAATCCATTTTAGCCTTCATCGCCTCAAGAAGGAATATTTGACTTACAGGTCAAGCAGCCATCATTGACTGTAAAGATGACCACAACGTCCACTGCCTCTTGAGTTCTCGACGTAGTTTTAGCACGAGTTTCAACGAAAGAACAGCAGCTACCCTGGATACCCTTGTTGCAGATTCCGCAGGAAATGGTAACGGGCCAAAGAAATTACAATATCCGCGGCAGCCGAAAGTGCTAATCCGGTAATTAACAAGACCTATAGGCTGATCATTCAAGCGCATGTAAAAAGACAGCGAACGGACCTGGAAGTCAGCAGCAAAAGCCGCAAACGACCGCTTAATGAACCTAAACTCAGTTCAGGCAGCAGCTGAGACGCAGAGTTGGAGCACACATTTCGACCGTCGATACTATCACGATATTGGCATGAGTAGGATGGAGAAAAAAACCACGTACCACCGGCAACAACTAGACGGAGGGTATAAACTCGTAAGTTGAACGCCAATAACAGAACAACTTCCCGCACCTATTCGTGCGAAAGATAACAAAGCCTATGCTGAAGTCAATATAGATTTGATGCCAATTGAACGTTAAACACGCACGATGAGTGAAGTCAACCACCAGTTGCGTTGGCTCACTGGATGGGCATGAGTGGAGTGCTCGCAGACGATTGTCTTATAACAAACTTTTATGGATCCTCCACCCGTAGAATCTGAAAGCCCATGAGACAACTGACACAGAAAGAACGCGAGACGAACAAGTTTACGCTCGCCGTGATTGTAGCGGTCATAAGAACATTTAGCTGGAGCTGGGTTCAAGTAATCGCCACTGGTTGGCTGATAAGCTTACTGAAAGCGTCCTTCAAGGTGTTATGCGGGGCCAGTAATAGGGTTGAAAAAACTCACGGGAATATATGCTGGACTGCCGCTGGGTTGGAGAAGTTCAAAACGCCGTAGTGCCAGATGGACACGCAGATAAAGACCGTGTGGATCGCGTCCAGCAGCCTGACCACTATAAGTTGGAGGGAAAAAAATTATGGGATAGGCAGACCAAATCCAAACGACCTTTGGGGAAGAAAAAAAAACTCGTTGAGGAAACGCCACGCTGGATCGTAGCTTGATAACGCACTAGTAGCTTGTATCGCATCGCGTCCATGGGGAAGACATGGAAATATAGGAACGTTTGGAAGCCAATAATGGCAGAAAGTCTATTGTAATAAGTGGCTGAAGTACGGGCTTGAAGAATCGAAGACTTACGCGACAGCGCCTAAAGCCCCCACGACAACAGCCCCAATCGTTCCTCGCATGTCTGGAGCTAGATGGCCTGGCGTGGCAGACATGCTTCCAAGGTCGTCTGCAGGTCGAAGTGGGGGCAGAGAACTCGAAGGTGACAGCGCGTACGCCAATTTGGGTAGCCTCCGGAAGCCGCGGCTGGCGGTACACATCCACGGCAGGACCAGGCAAGTCAACTCGAACAAAAACTTTGCCGAGTGATAAGTGAGTGAGGTGCCTTGACAGGGGCGTAGGCTAAGTTTCGTCTGACTGTGAGCAGCTGTGCCTATGGGCGGAATGACAAAAACAAACCATCGCCCAACAACTCGAATTCAAAATACGGCCACGATGGCGGGAGTGACCCTCATGCCACCGACGATCAAAGTGTGGTGAAAACGTCGTGAATCAACTGTTGCTACATATCCGACCGTCACGTGTCACAGCTGACATGAAGCGTGACACGCGGTGACCAATTCCTCAACGCCTTCCGTCAACCAACCAACCCGTCGACCACATTCCTGCCACTAAGCTCTTGCTGCACCAAGCTTTCTCACCTGGCTGAATACGTCCCCTACCACAAATCTCATAGAACCTCCCTGCTCCATAGCCGCTAAGAATAACAATTTGTGACTGGACCAACCGCTACACTTTGTAAAATCCAATCGGACTCATTCTGCGTCAGCGGTGGCTCTCTGTCATGCTTATCTTGTCCTTCGCAGGCCCGGGCTCGGTCGGATGTTTCCCTCACGCAGCGATTTCCGCTTTCGAATCATTTCCACGTCGTCCAGATGGTCCTAAACCATGGCATTGCCCTCTACAAGCTTTTTTTGGCTCAAAGAGCTCATTCAGCCAGATGGCGATATAACCAACCTTGAAATCATCGACGTTCAAGCCCATGATCAGTCGCGGGCACCCCAGATATATCAAAAAATTTTCAGTATTCTGTGTACTTGACCCATATACTTACTGTGTAGGTGATTCCCCGCGACTTCGAGCTTCTACCCTCAGCTTGAACTGCGCCAAATGGACATCACAGTCAGATATGATACTTTTCGACTTCCCTCTACGCTCTCTATGGTTGGCTCCTTTTCCCCCGTATTACAATCGATGTTAAAGCTCAAGCTATGCATCGTCCCGATTTAGATTGCACCCCACAGACCGTTTCAGCTGAACTTTTTGCGACGCTGTCGGCCATCTGTTTGCGTTATCGTGATGTTATGTGAGTGGGATTCCGAAGGGTTCCGAACACTTGCGTTTTTGCGGCATTGTTGGGTCAAGTACTGTATATAGGCACCGCCAACGTCCGTAGCCTACGAGGCATGAAACTCGCAAAACGAATTCGAGAGTCCTTTTAATTGCATATTGCTTGGCAGTCGATAAATTGAGGACATCTAATCAGCTTCGCCCCGGCAAATCGGCATTCCCAGGACCCAGGATCAATGTGACGTTGGCAGATGTTACGCCACCAGCTTTGCCCTTGTACATAAGGAGACTCACCCGCGCTAAAAACACACCGCCATGTTTGCCTAGAGAGATGCCTGAGATATTGTCCGACGGTCTTTTCAACTCAAAACCACAGCGAATGAACGTACCACCTCAAACACAACAGTGCGTGCTTGGCCCAGGAACTCCACCGCACGAGCGGGATTTACCTTGCTCACATGTTCGGACGTGGGTAAGTATCACTGCTCACAGCCCAGGCCCGGTGTTAATATGTTGGTGCCTTTACAATGGACCATCGCCGCGTCTAAGCCGCTCTTCAAATATACCCTCGGATTGGCAACGTCACGGCCTGCAATGCCTTCCTCACCTGGACCTCCACTATCAGAGACGCAGGGAGCGCTGCTGCTGGGGGGGGTTGTTTGCATCGATGTGCGTACAGTTTAGCTGGCCGGAGTTTTCGTTGATTTGGCCGCAGGTTTGGCGGAATGGTCAATCTTCAGAGCATAATATATTACCGGTCCTACAAGAGGGACCCACCAATATTGAAAAGTTTGGTGTGTCGCAGGACATAGCGCTCAACGAACATCATGCTGACACCTTTTAGATTCTAGTTGTTTGGTGACTTCGCTCATCCTCGAATTGTCAAACGAGTTGATGTCAACTGCGTTGTAGGCTTTTGGACAATCTCCATACGTGTTTCGTCTGGGGAGCGATATGGTTTGCGTTGATTGAGAATAACGGGGAGCCCCGCAAAGTCAACCTAATACCATGGTGCGTGACTATTTTTTCTCCATCCAAGCTGCTGTTGACGGATGCATTCGAAAGGTACCTACCGGTGGGCATGCACACTCGCTCCTAAGCCCTTTCATGATTACTTGGTTTAGCTCACAGTCGTTACTACTGTGAGTTGTCCTTGATTTGCTTTTCACGTCTCACTGAAGTAAAAACTTAGGCGACGAACACTGTATTGGCCCACTGGTCAGGGCCTTATTCGTGGCACCAGCGGCTCGCTGACTTTAACCGGATAGTTTCTTTGCGCATCGGATCTTCAGACTGAGTAACGACAACTGGTTTATGGTTGCTCCTGTGGTGTGCCTACTTCAACTCTTTAGAGTGTGTCGTCTCAATCTGATTGAAATAGCTCTGCTTGACGGTCTTTCGTCTTGGTATGGTCTGCACGACTTTATAATGTCTACTAATCGGCTTAACTTGTAGCCTGCGCTGGCGGTAAGCAGCATTTGACGTTCAGTCCATCCATTAACCCTTGTCGCCAGTGACAACGTCCAGAATGTGAGTCTTACTTCTCGCCACATGTTCAGCATGAACCGACACTCTCATAGGTTCATGTATCCTACCTTTACATCGTTTGCTATCCACGCCCGAGTTTGTCTACCGCTCATCATGCGGCTTCGCACTTCTTACCATGAAATCAGTGGATTTTCAGTCTTGGGCTGGCGGTTTCGACCACTCTTGACATACTCATAACCGGCCTTCTGGTCCATCTTTTCCGGGCAAATCGTAAAGGCACTTCACGGTCCGTTATTCCCGGTTTCATACCGCACGTTTTTTGACCCCTTGCCTAGCATCAACCATATCTTGGATCGATTAATTCTGTATGGTGTCGAAGCAGGTACGTTGACACATCGTCATTACGCAGAAATTAACAAGTAACTGTACCTTTCAGGTGCATTAACTAGGTAAGTCGACGGTTACACAAATTGCTCGGTACGGAAGGAAATTCTACAGCCTTGGCACATTCCTCTCAATGCTATTTGTAACTTATTAACTCTGGTCTTGAGTGGTTCTCTGACCTCTTTTAGTGGCTGGTTAAACCCGACAACCTTGTCTTTCTTGGTATCTACGTCGTAATCGAAAAACGTGAGTACACATTTCTCCAACATAGGATACCTTTTATTTGTTTATCAGTCTATGCCAACTCCCTCCTCGCCACGTAAGTTATATTCACAACTAGAGGCCTAAATTTGATAATTCCATAGTCTCAACACACGCAACAGCATCCGCCAAAGCCGACGCAGCGTAACTTCAGTTGCGCCTGACCTAACCTCTCCCGTTATCCACCTCGACGCGGCTGGTTCCCGCGCCATACGATCTTCTGTATGCCTTTTGCCTAGATAAAACGGCTCAAGTGCTAATCAGAATATAGGAGGACCCGCTCACATCACCTAAACTCGAGGGCTCGCTGGGGGTATGTTGTTCGTTGGTTCACGAGTGTAAACTCTCACGACTCTCCCTCCACCGTTAGGGCGTACAGATTAATGTCCACGTTGAGCGCTCGACGAACGTCCAATCTTTGAATAGCTTGCTATCCCAATAATCAGTGTATTTGTTGCGTATCTTCATGTACTAGTATCTACTAAGAGAATCGTCTTGGGCTCTCTAAAACTTGAGAAATTGTGAAGGAAGAGTATTATTAGCGACTCTTGCGATGTCCACATCTAGTGAGCAATATCTCGTTTACGCGATACAGGTTGACAGTGGGCTGGCAGACGGCGAACCAGATACTTTCCAAGTTTTTCCTTGTTTCAGAGCAGTGGTTCGTTGAGCAATTCACAATAACAGGTTTGGCGTACGACCAAAGCTCGAGCCGGCTCTCGAATATATCATGTAAACCTGCAAATTAGTCTTTCGCTACTCATTCTTCAAGCTTCAAGTTTCACAGGGTCTCAGGTAAAGGCAGCGCTTGACAAGTTGAGCTGAGCTTGAAATGATTTGAGCTCGTTGGTCATTGGAGACGGACAAATATCAGTAGTTGCAGCGGCCTTGGTAAGTGGCCCGTGTATGTCGCTAGTAAGCATGCGGCTCGTCACAATGGGTCGTCAGACAACTCAGTTCAAGAAGTAGGCGAAGCAAGCGGAGGCTGCGGAGCTAAGTATGGTCGATTACAGAGGAGTTGATTGAAGAGACATTTCCCGTGGCCGGGCGGAATTTTGTCATGTCGTGTCAACCAGGATAGACCACGAAAGCCTGAGCCAGATGCCAGGATTGGATTGGATTGGATTAATACACGGCACGGTCCGACTGACGAACGCCAGGAAGAAGGAACACGCTGTGTCACACACTGTCACACAGTGTCACACAGTGTCACACACTGTCACACTCTTTTCCCTCCCAACCTCAAACCGTTGATGCCAACCCGACGGATGCACTCTGAGAGTGAGCAGAGTCTGCTTGGTCTCCAGTAGGGTTTAGAAAGCATTCACCCTAATGCACAAGTTCAAACCAACAAAGAGATGACGTCGACAGTGCACTTGGAGCGGTACGAGTTCCTTGCCTAGCATGGTGGATAGGCGTCCTCAGGCTGTCCAATTGCTCACCATTACTCATCAGTATCGGCGACTATCGGGGACTCCAACAATTCTCCTCGTTCTTGTTCAGCACAATGCTTGCTCAGCAGGAGACGTTGTCAAGATTACGCGGTCTATTTTGGCTCTACTATCATGATAGCCTATAAAGCCCCAGCACGATCGAGTCTTAGAATAAACCCACACATCCACACATGTCTTCTCCAACCTTCGACGTTAACACAACCGCGAAAGATGTTGCTGCCGCGTTCCCCGAGCAAATCAAAGGCAAAACAGGTTTGTTATCGACTCCGTATCGCACTGATGATCCTCGTCCTGATGTGTTTTGACAATCTGCAGTTCTGATAACTGGGACGTCTCTGAAGAGCATCGGGTTTACGACCGCGCAAGCCTTCGCCAAGGATGTGGGCCTTCTTATCATCACTGGTCGAAGCCACGAGAAGTACATAGCATTCTGCTTCCTATTTACGCCATGTTAATCACTCCACAGGCTCAAAGCAACCGAGGCGGCGCTGAAGACGGAATTCCCCGGTGCAAACATTCGGCCTCTTGTCCTCGATCTTGCGTCTCGCACATCTGTTAGAAAGGCTGCTGCAGAGGTCAATAGCTATTCGGAACCCCTTCATGTGCGCCGTTCATCGTCTCGTCCTGCGTTGTCTGAATTCATTGACATGATTAGATTCTCATTCACAATGCTGCCGATGTGATTGGGCCGTTCCGATTGAACGAGGATAGGCTCGAGTCACAATTTTCTTCTGACCATGTTAGCCCCTTCCTGTTCACCAAACTTCTTGCGCCAAAAATTCTCGCGTCGGCCGCCCCTGGCATCGTCCCGCGTGTTATCTTCGTCTCAAGTCTTGCCCACGGATTCGGTATAATTGACTGGGACACCTTGGCCAATCCCGACGAGGCCAAGTATAACGCCGTGGGAGCTTACGCTCAAGCCAAAATTGCCAATGTTTTGACCGCTAAGGAGCTCACCAAGCGGTCTGGCGGGCGAATCCAATCATTCAGCTTACACCCAGGCACCATCGCCACGAGTGAGGCTCCGGCTACCGTCACTACTTTGCAGGCAATTGGTGCGTGTCAAGAGCCATTATCGAAAAGGTCTCCTGCTGACAAGCAAACCGCTAGGCATATATACGCCTGAGGGCAAGCCCGATACTGAGAAGCACCCCTTCATCAGTCAGGAGCAGGGTGCGGCAACGTGCGTCTCATTTCATAAACTGTTTTCTTCTCAAGCTTAACGACTGTACCAGCACTGTTGCCGCTGCCATCGACCCTCGCATCGAGGGTAAGTTCTTGTTTTGTTACAAGGCTTTTTCACTTAGGCTTTTCCAAGGCAAAGGCGGCGCATATTTGAGCTCCTCAAACATCGCAGACGACGAAGTTTCGGCCTTCGCTGCGGATTTGGTGCGCATCCATTTACTCGGAAATAATAATACCTGCTTAATGTCCTCGTGACAGGCCAATGCAGAGAAGCTGTGGACACTGACTGAAGAACTGCTGGGAGAGAAATTTGTGTTTGCGTAGCTGTTTTATGTCCTTGACTGAGAAACTTTAATCATAGAGCCCATTGCTGGCAATTTGTTGCCTCACATCGAATCCGTCAGACACCGAATAGCGAGAATCATCAGCTTTCGACTCATTCGAGCACTGAATCTCTGCTTGGGAGTACGATAATCATCGCGCTCACTGTATCCAACAAATTACCTTCTAACTAAGGCGCTCTCGTTGAGCGGGTCACCGCGTGTGACCCGCGTTACACATCTTCAACTGTCACTCAGAAAACGGGAGGGACGCGTTGCGCTCAACTCACGACCGGATAGAATGTCGCTGGCTCTTAGCACAACGGTCAAATCCTTTCTCCGAAGGGTGGTACGCCACTTTTGTATCGGTACTTATTCCTCCGACTGACTTCCCTCCAGACAACAAAAACGTCAACAGGGTTGACACAAGATTGGGTCCTTTTCATCCACGGCTGAATCGGCCGGATTGGCGCTCAGCTGATTCTTCTCGAGGTCTTCTTCGTGGAGATGCTACGAAGTTGCTGCCGTGGTTAAGGTCTGGCCAAATTTTTAGGCTTTTGCTGGAGGGGCAACAGAACCAACAGCTTGAATGCGACAGTCCACAGCTATCTTTTGCCGCCTCGTTCCCTGTTCTGACAAATGAACCCAACACGTCTGGCCAAGAACGACGTTTTCTTTGCGCGGATGAACGGTCTTGGATTCATCAGCCGGTCGTCACCTAATCGATCTTCGAGTTCAAGATTACGCAGTCGACCAGGAGCTTTATAATCGCGTCTTCGCGGCGTGTCAACCCCCCCAAAAACGAGATGTCTCTCCCCACTTTCGACGTCAAGACTACAGCAAAAGAGGTCGCTGCGACTTTCCCTGAGCAAATCAAGGGCAAGACTGGTGCGCATAATTTCCCACATACCACACAGCCAACTTATATCTCCTCTCACCAGTCCTTGTTACCGGAACATCGTTGAAGAGCATTGGATTCACTACCGTGCAAGCGTTTGCCAAAGATGCTGGGCTACTCATCATCACTGGGCGAAGTGCGGAAAAGTAGGGATTGTTGGTTGATCTTGAGTGGGCATCTAATTATTTCAGACTGAAAGACACCGAAGCAGCACTCAAGACAGAGTTTCCAGGCGCCAACATTCGCCTGCTTGTCCTCGATCTGGCGTCTCGTGCTTCTGTTAGAAAAGCAGCTGCAGAGGTGAATGCGTACCCAGAGCCGCTCCATGTATGTGACTTGTGCTTTCTCCTTTGTCAACCAAGTAATGGATCGATAGATAATTATTCACAACGCTGCTGATGTCATCGGCCCATTCAAACTCAACGAGGACAATCTGGATTCCCAGTTCTCATCCAATCATGTCAGCCCATTCCTCTTCACCAAGCTCCTTGCAACGAAGCTTCTTGCTTCGAGCACTCCAAGCTTTGCCCCACGTGTAGTTTTCGTATCCAGCTCCGCCCATTCATTCGGAGCAATCGACTGGGACACACTCGCCAAACCCGACGAGGCCAAACACACTCCCATGGGAGCCTATGCGCAGTCCAAAATTGCCAACATCCTAACCGCTAAAGAACTGACAAAGCGATCGGGTGGGCGAATCCAGTCGTTCAGCTTGCATCCTGGCTCGATCGTAACCAGTGAGGCACCTATAAACGTTGCAACCTTGCAGTCTATCGGTTGGTCGCTTTTTGTTTTTCGTCGAGTTGTTGACGATTCCTGATAGGAATATATACCCCTGATGGTAAACCCAACACCGCGGACTATTCCTTTGTTACCCGCGAGCAGGGTGCTGCAACGTTTGCCTTAACTTTCTAATGGCTATTTTTCTGTGGACTGAAATCAATTTAGTTCTGTTGCCGCGGCGATCGATCCTCGTATCGAAGGTACATCTCCGTCCTGCTTCAAATTTCTCGTCTTATCTTCTCAACGCTATTTTCAGGCAAAGGAGGCGCATATCTTAGCTGCGCAGTTCTTGCAGATGACCAAGTGTCAGAGTTTGCGGCGGACCCGGTTGGTTGACTGCTTTACACCCGCATTGGAACTAACACTTCCCTAGGCCAATGCGGAGAGGCTGTGGACGGTCACAGAAGACCTCCTTGGAGAGAAATTTACGTTTTAAGAACGCATGTCTTCACATCTACTTAATATCAGTTATTGCGCACGACTTGCGTCTAAAGCTCAAATGGACACGTATTCATGCCGGCGCAACTACAAGTCCGCAACGTTTGATATCCGCCCAGCATAATTGCAGTCCAAAGTGCAGGAGGGTGAGTCTTCATGATTTTGATTTGTTCACGCCGCAGAGCGCAGCAGAATGGAGCTGGTTAACCAAGCCAAATAAGTCCCTTCCTTCCCCACCCACATCCCTCCTCGCACCACCACACTTGGCCTTGATCTTTGACCACCTCGACGCAAGAAACCTCGGGCCCGACCCCCGTAGTCTTTGCGTGTCTCGGATGACGGAGACTCGAAGCACACTAGGGTGAAGCAGACAAGTCGGAAAGCACGTGAGTCGGCTAGCTTCATGCTCTCAACCACGAGATCTAGACGTTAACTGGTCAGCCTTTAAGTTTCTCAATTACGACTTGAAAGTTCGCAAGGAATAATAATAATTAGGAATGATCTTGGAGGACAATATATATCCTATTGTCAGTAAGTAGCATGAGTCTATGCAACTTTTAGTAGAGGTATCGAAGCTGGCGTCTATCGATGTCATCCTCTTTCCACGGATGGACGTACACCACATCCTCGAAAACGACGGAAAGGCGACCCGAGCGGGCGAGAATGGGCATAGAGCTTTCCATGGCTTTGACGACAGCAGCGCGACTGAAGTCCACGGTTCTTGGCTGGCGGCTGACCTCGACCACCACCATGCGGATGCCCGCAAGCTTTTCACCCGGGGCAACGAGGGCGTCCAGGTACTCTGCGACCAGTTCCTGGCCTCCGAACCAGTATTTGTCCTGCCAGAGGTTGTGGAACGTCGTCAGCGTCAGCTTCTCGACGCTGTTGTGGAGAGGCAGGCGCGTAAGCGCACTATCTTGGAGGAACGCCATGGAGGTAAATTGACACTGGAGATGCGTGATCGAAGCGAGGGAGAGGGGTAAATCCCCGACGGTGCGGTCTATAACGTTGACTTTGAGGGAATTGAGGGAGCCATGTTGCGTCAGGAAGGATTTCCACAGCTTGCTTGGGGAGCTGTAGTAGTCGATGGCGGAGACGTGGGTCAAATCCAGTGGGAAAAGAGGGTTGAAGAGTACCGCACATGCGTCCCCTGAGCCACTTATGGACAGGGTGGTAATTCGGGCAGGTGTTTTGGATGCTGTTAGGAGAAGACGAGGGCCAGTTTGCAGTGGCCTATCTGGGCCGTTGATAGTACGGCAATTAACCAATACGAGCTGGTTGATACTCGGAGAGCAGTATGCCATGACATTCCAGAACAACTCTGCACTCCATTGGAGACACTGAAATTCGACCACATTCAGTTGTGGGGAAGAAACAAGACGTTGGAGACCACCGAGAGCACCTTCATAGTCATCAAGTCGGATCTTGCAAAGATGGAGAGTCCGCAGTGTCTCCCATTGTCGTGAGGCCAAAGAGTCGATAACCGCAGGAGAGCTCTGATGTATTCGAAGAGTCTGAATATGGGCGATGAGGTGTGGAGAGTTTTCGAGCACGGCCAGAAGGCGAACAGCACGCTGAACACAACGGCTGGTCATTGCCGAGGCTGGCTTGGACTCGTGGCCAGTACCGACTTTGCGGAAAAGACGTGATTGGGCCCAGTAGCAGAAGCGTGAACAGACAAGGGCACATGCTTCAAGGGCCGGAATATGGTTTAAATAGTCCACGATAATGGCTCTTTCGAGTTCTGGCGGCAGAAATACTGCCATCAGGATTGGATGTCTCCGAGTGTTTCTGTCAACTGTGTTTCACTGTGTGACTGTTCTTTCTTCCTCTTCCTTCCATCATCTCGCAGCTCGCCCGCAAACCTTTCGCCCGTAAAGAGAGTAGTGCCCATGATTTCGTACGCAGACGCATTATGCTCTTCGCTGCCTATCGGCTCACTGTTCCATCTTTTCTCTAGCTTTAACGACATGCCGATCGAGCTCCTGGACAAAATTCTCAACGAACTGGACAATGTAGCAGACCTCGCTGCCACTGCCCAAATCAGTCGCCGTTGGGCGGTTCCAGCTGAAGCTCGTTTGTACACCTCACTCTCTATCGACTCTCGCAACCACACTCTTCGCCTCCTCGCAGAAACGTTGAGGAACGAACCGTCTCTTCAAGCCTACGCAAAAAGAATAACCGTTACAATCGCTTTGCAAACTCCCTCCCCACTGTCCGAACGCCTGATGAACTTCGCCTTCTTGCTGTCTTCTACAACTTCGCTAGTGTGTTTGGAGCTACACAAGATTCTGCGTGGAGACAATCATTTGAGCTGGGTTTACCACGCCTTGGAGGAAATACGGGACCAACCTCTGGAGAAACTAGTTATTGAAACTGATGGTGCCTTCAACGACCGTGTTACCTCCGCGATCCTGAAACGTACTCCAAGATCAGTTGATTTTCTTGGGCTTTCCGAGTCTCTGTGGCCGCTGGGTACTGTCACTACGCTTGATGACCTGACTCCGACATGGCGCCTTGCTGATTCCCTGAGACCGACCAAACTCAAACTGAATCTGTCGCGCAGGACGCTTGCTGCAATTTCTTTGCTTGCGCCATCTTGTTGCGACCTGGCGGCGGTTCAAGAGCTTCATCTTCCGCTTTTCACCACAGACTTTTCGCCATTTGCGCTTCACCTTCCGTCCTTACGAATCATTACTATTTCGTCGTCGCTCCATCCTTCCCGTATGCACCATAGCTGTCTATCTTGGATTTCTTTGACTCGAGTTTCAGATTGGTCTGCCGCGCCACCCCAGTTTATTGGTTGCCCACTGGTGGACCTCGAGGTCTTCAAGTGTGAAGTAGATTCAATTGAGACCGCGCGGTATCTTGGCAACGGGCAACCTACCACCATGCAGATAGCAATGAGCTATGACCAAGCAACAGACCTGACAATTGCTCAAAACCTACGCATCGTTCTCGACCTGGTGCAAGCCACATCCGCCTCTCAGCTCATTTCGTTGCTCGTGCTGGTCCACACCCTCCCCCAAGATCTTTCGTCCCTCCAATTGGAAGCATGCTTCAAGGACTTGCGGACAGTACTTAGCCCTGAACACAAACCATTGCCATACGACCTGATCATCAAAGCGGACTAAGGAAAACTCGCCGTCGCACCCCCTTGTCTTCCAGTTACACATCTAGTTATGGAATAGAGTTGAAATAGAAAATGGATAATGGTCTTTGACACAGTGAACAAGGGCATAGAAAAGCAGCTTGAGATGCATACGTCGACATACATAGACCTGGTAATTGACACCTTTTTCACATTTACTCCTCATTTTCGTCGTCGCCACCCTCCTTGGCAGCGGCAGCGGCCTGCTTGCGCTTGACACGACCCGGAGGTCCACCACCATAGGGTGAGGTGAGAGCGAAGTCGATGTGCTTCTGGGCGTCAAGACGGACAACGAACGAGGGGACATTGACGATTTGACGGCCGACACTGACAACATGGTTAGACAGAAGTAAGAGGAGAATGTGATAAGAGTAAGGCAGAAAGAAAAGGTTGTCCAAAAGGACATAGGAAGAAAGAAAAGGACGCCATAGAGGAAGAAATACGGTAAAAGATGAGGACATAGAAGAAAAAGAATGACAAGAATAAGACAACCACATACCGAATGTGGCGTTGACGAATGAGAACTCGGGCATGATGAATACTCTTCGCAAGGCCGCTCTTGAAGACCTGTGTCTGCAATCGACGCTCCGAAGTCCTCCACCTTGAGGGCCAACACATAATCGAGACGCATGCGGGTTTCGTTCGGCCCGGGGTTGGGCGGGGATTCGCTTCAGCTTGACACGCTCTCAAAGCAGGAGTCAGCGAGTGAAGAGTGAAGAGTAAAACGAGATAGAGCATCGAGGTAGACGGTCAGGAGAAAGCAAGGACAAATCGATACTTACCACCCTTCTCCTTCTCCTTCGCCTCAGCATGCGCATCGTGGTTCTTCTTGACCCGGTCCAAGAATTCTTGACGGCATTTTGAGTGGCGGATGTGCTCGACCCGCAGGTTGACACGTTTCTCGAGGTAGCGGTTGCCGACAACCTTGTGCACGATAACACCGACAGCAGAGCGCGTGACATTGTAGATAATGTACGGCTAGGGGATGATAATAAAAAGACCCAGCCTGAGACAGAACTTGACTCGAAGCAGGGTGACGTTTTGGTAATTTTTTGTTGCGGCTCTTTTCCCAGTGTGTTAACGGTGAGTAACCACTTGAGCGATGGCATAGTACTCACTGAAGCTGTCTTTCGAATCGTGTCCGAGTTGGAGTTGCAGAAAAAGTCAGAAAGCACGTGATTCGCCGGCTTGCGCGACTTCATGTTCTCAACCACGGTCCACCGTTCACTGGTGAATGTTCAGTTTCTCGACCACGACCTAGTTCATAAGGAATACTACGAGTTGTGAGTGATCATGAAGGACAATATATATCCTATTGTCAGTAAGTAGCATGAGTCTATGCAACTTTTAGTCGTATCGAAGCTGGCGTCTATCGATGTCATCCTGTTTCCACGGGTGGACGTACACAACATCCTCGAAAACGACGGAAAGCCGGCCCGAGCGGGCGAGAATGGGCATAGCACTTTCCATGGCTTTGACGACAGCAGCGCGACTGAAGTCCACGGTTCTTGGCTGGCGGCTGACCTCGACCACCACCACCACCATGCGAATGCCCGCAAGCTTTTGACCCGGGGCAACGAGGGCGTCCAGTCTCCGCGCTATGCGGTCTTGGGTTTGCAGCCAATGGTTATCTTGCCAGTGATTATGGAAGGTCGTCAGCGTCAGCTTCTCGACGCTGTTGTGGAGAGGCAGACGCATAAGCACACTATCTTGGAAGAACGCCCTTTGAGGGAATTTAAACTCAAAATGTGTGAGAGAAGGGAGGTCAAGAGGCAGCTCCGCGACACTCTCGTCGCGAACATCGAATCGGAGGGAGTGGAGGGAGCGATGTCGCGCCAGGAAGGGTTCCAACAACTTGTTTAGAGAGTTGTAGTAGTTGATGGCGGAGACGTGGGTCAGATCAAGGGGGAAAAGAGGGTCGAAGAGCACCGTACATGCATCCCCTGCGCCCCTTATGGAAAGGGTGGTAATTCGGGCAGGTGTGTTGACGGCCTTCAGAAGGAGACGAGGATATTGCAGTGGTATACGCGGACCGTCAGTACAGCAGTTGCTGAGTATAAGCTGGCTAACACTGGCGGAGCAGTGGGCCATTACATTCCAGAATAACTCTGGATTCCATTGGAAGCATTCAAATTCGAGGATATTCAGCCGTGGGGAAGAGACAAGACGCTGGAGACCACCGAGCGCGCTTTCATAGTCATCAAGCCGGAGCCTGTAGATATGGAGAGTTCGCAGTGTGGGCCACTCGCGGGAGGCCAACAAGTCGATCAGAGCAGGAAAGCTCTGGTGTATGCGAAGAGTGTGAATATGAGGGACGATGTGGGGAGAGCTTTCGAGCGTGGCCAAAAGGCGGTTGGCACGCCGCATACACGGACCAGTCAGGCTTGGCCTTGTTGGCTCTTCATAGCTCGTGCCGACTTTGCGGAAAAGACGTGACTGGGCCCAGTAGCAGAGTCGTCCACAAGTGAGAGCGCAGGCTTGCAGGGCCGGAAAATCATCGAGGTAGTCCACAACGATGGCTCTTTCGAGTTCAGAAGGAAGAGAAACCATGATAGCCAAGACAGGGGTCATTGTCCAGGAATCAACTGGAAATGAAACCCATCGCTTTGTGGATTTTCTCTTCGCGTGCAACCAAACGTTTGACAAAGGCAAGGCGTTCAACACTGAAGATGATAGCCAAGACAGGGGTCATTGTGAATCAAGTTATCAAGTTATCAACTGGAAATGGTACTTTAGTTGGGAATGCTGACTTTTGGTGCAATAGCTTGTTTGTTTGTTTGTTTGAGAAAAACCCATCGCAAGTCCGCTTTGTGGATTGTCTCGCTTGCGACCAAACGTGCGGCAAACAAAAAGAAGTGCATAGGACGCCGTTCAGAAAAGCCAATACTGAACGTGCCAGATATTGGACGGAAGCGAGAATCCATCTCACAACTAAACAGTGAACAAGGGCATAGAAAAGCAGCTTGAGATGCATACGTCGACATACATAGACCTGGTAATCGACACTTTTACTCCTCGTCTTCGTCGTCGCCACCCTCCTCCTTCTTGGCAGCGGCAGCGGCCCGCTTGCGCTTGACACGGCCCGGACGTCCACCACCATAGGGTGAGGTGAGGGCAAAGTCGATGTGCTTCTGGGCGTCAAGACGGACAACGAACGAGGGGACATTGACGATTTGACGGCCGACACTGACAACATGGTTAGACAGAAGCAAGAGAGGAATGAAGGCAGGAAAGGTTGTCCAAAAGGACACAGGAAGAAAAAAGGAGGAAGAAATACGGTAAAATAGCAAAAGGGTGCAAGAGAAGAAGAAACAAGAACCACACACCGAATGTGGCGTTGACGAATGAGAACTCGGGCATGATGGATACTCTTCGCGAGGCCGCTCTTGAAGACCTGTGTCTGCAATCGGCGCTCCAAGAAGTCCTCCACCTTGAGGGCCAGCACATAATCGAGACGCATGCGGGTTTCGTCGAGCACACCGATACGGACGAGTCGGCGGATGAGAGCGTTACCCTCGAAGAGCCGTTTGGGGTCTTTGTCATCGAGCTTCAGCAGCTCACGGGCGGCACGACGAATTTTGGAGAGAATCAAAGCGATACGCCAGATCTCGCGCTTGTTGCGCAGACCATACTCTCCCGCGAGCTGGATGGATGGATCAGACAGAGCGGCAAGCAATGAACAAGCGCACCTTGAGCTCGGAGTCGAGTCGCGCCGATTCGAAAGGTCGACGGGGGACCTTGTAGCTAAGGGCATTTAAGCCATCCACGAAGTGGATCTTGAGGTAATCTAATGCTCACGTTTTGGAGTGGTTGCGGGGGGCCCTACCGCCTGTTAGCACTGGGGTGACACGGGTGGCGAACGTACCTCGGCATCCTGGCGTGTCTTGAGGGGAGGGAAAGAGAGACGAAGGGAAAAAAGTGATGTGACCCGACGGACGTGACGCGAACACGTGCAGCTGCCTGTGCGTGACGTGATGAGATTAGTCAGTCGTGTGACGACCAAAAGACTTCTCTCCTTCACCGTCGTCGACCACTCCTCAAGACAAAATGCCGCACTCATTCGGTTACCGCGCGCGCACGCGCCACATGTTCAAGCGGGGGTTCAAGGGTGCGTTTGCTCTCTTCATCTGCTTCCTCTTGCGCGGTTCCTGCTGGGTTTGGAGGAAATTTCTACTTGGAGATGTGGACGGTGGAGAGCATGATGGGAACGACTAGCGATGGGGTGGTACTTGGGGTGAACCACTACTAGGCCGTCCCATCGCCGGCCCATGGGCAGCTTGTGGTCGATCTACGATCCTCTTTCCTGCATTCACCCTCCTTATCCCTTACGCTAACACCAACCCAGAGCACGGCCCAATCAAGCTCTCCACCTTCCTCATCAACTACCACGTCGGAGACATCGTTGACATCAAAGCCAACGCTGCCCAGCACAAGGGCATGCCCCACAAGTACTACCACGGGTCTGTCTGGGTCTTTTTTATCATCCAACTTTTATTAACGCTTCCCTAGCCGTACTGGCATTATCTACAATGTCACGCCCTCTGCTGTCGGTGTTATCGTGCACAAGGTTGTCGGCAACCGCTACCTCGAGAAACGCGTCAACCTGCGGGTCGAGCACATCCGCCACTCAAAATGCCGTCAAGAGTTCTTGGACCGGGTCAAGAAGAACCACGATGCGCATGCTGAGGCGAAGGAGAAGGGTGGTGAGTATCAATTTGTCCTTTTCTACATGCTGCTTTCGCTTTCCAACCGTTTATTGCCCCCATGCCTCGATGCTCTATCTCGTTTTACTCTTCACTCGCTGACTCCTGCTTTCAGAGCGTGTCAACCTGAAGCGAATCCCCGCCCAGCCCCGGGCCGCCCGCACCGTCACCGCTGTGTCGTCGGGCAACGTCCCACAAACGATGGTGCCTGTACCATACGAGACGACGATCTAGAGGCTTGTCGCTTACGAGTTGTTTGTTTGGTTGGCCACCGTGGTGGGACGTGTATGCTATATGCGCTATGTGGCGATGATGAGCGACGCAAACAATGATTCAAATTCATGCATTCCTTTCGCTTTAGTTCAAGAGTACGAACAACAACACATGAGCAGGATTGGAAAGTACTCCGCTCTTGACTCAAATTCACAGCAGCTGAATGTATTCTACTTCTCACTATGGAGTTAGACTCGAACTAGCCCTATGACAGGAAAGTGTGAACCGTTGGTAGCCTAAGCGAACCTACTATGTAGTTGGCTCAAACTGACAATGCATAGAGCTCGTTCAGAATTCTCCTCCGTCGATAGTGCATCCCTTTCGCTTCATCTGAGTGTATTTTGCTGGGTCGATTCGAAGAGTTACTGCTGAGAGCGTCTAAATCTACTCTATTTCTTGGTCTCGGTTCCTAATAGTACTTGTCAGTGGTACAAACAACAGGTTCTAGCTGATATGGTTCAGAATTCTTCTACAAGTGGTTGATTATAGCTTCAATGAGCATGGCGATATGGTGCAGGGTCATGGGGGCGTGCTCGCCGATCTGGTCAGTCAGGATGAGAGCAAAGTGGTTTTTCATGGCATATGCGTCGTAGTGTGATTTCATGTTGCGGAGCTCAGGCAGCCCCAGTCCAACCGAACGGAGGAGCCCGATGTAGCCTGCGAGGCTTTCTCGAGGCGCCGACTGCAAGAAGACGAGTAAGGCATTTTCGTCGGTGTCTTCGGCAGGCTGTTGCGCGTGAAAAGTCCGAATATCCAGCGGGTATATGTGCTAATTACCTGAATGTTCACTGGTGTCACAGAACTGAAGCTGTTTCCGGCCCCAATGGACGGAGAGGTGCCAGCTGCCAACTGGGTTGGTTGATTGAGATTCTGAGCTGCATATGGACGAGGCGGAAAAGGATACACGGCCGGCTTTCTTGAGGGTATGCGGGCGCTAATTGTCAACGCCGGGTCGATTCCCTTGCACTAAGTAATGAATCAGTTGCAAGTCACGGAAAAACCAACAACAAATGGACGGACTGCTGGATATTCTGAGGCGGAAAAGTGCTGGAGAGCTTGAGGAGTCCGAGCGTCATCGAAAGCCTGCGCAGACAGTAAGTTGGCGGTAAATTGAGGCCTCAGATATGTTCCGAGTGTGCCAAATCGCGCTTCTCTCTCCTGGACAGCCTGCTCGGTGGAGTCATGACCACTCGATCTCAAACTAAAACCCGATCCAGGCCGCGAAGGCAGGCAACTTCCAGGTGTCGATGCGGGTTGCGCTAATTCATACTTATGAAGGATACTCGGAAGGTCGCCAGCGAGGGCCACATCTCGACTGGTGTCGTCTGGCTCAGCATATTCGTTGCGGAGCGCACGTGTGATGGTTGGGACGACGGTGGCTTTTGGGAGAGCACAGTAGCACATCCCGTGACTGGCATGTAATTATTTCCCATGTCAAACCATACCCCCCCCCTTGCACGCCCCGCTCCAACGCTAAGTCGCGCTCGCTCGCCAAGTCGCGCGAGCGAGAGACCCTCTAATATACTACTTTTTTCAGCGCACGGACCTATAAACAAGGTCATGTGAGTACTCTGTGCGTCGAGCAGCGGGCGAAAAATTGGGATTTGGGGACAGGTTTGAGTGGATTTGGGGGACATAACATGCTGGGGAATTTGGCGTCACTCTCGGGCTTTCCGGGCAGGCATATAACGATGTAAAGTCATATATTAGCTATTTTAAGAGGTACATCCAGGCGCGCTAATTAACAACGCGTCGCGACGCGTGCCAACTCCCTGCGACGCGTCAAATCTCAAGTCCACAACGCGTCCATCTCCAAATCCAACACCCTCCAGCGCAGAGCGCTATTCACGCAGCCTTGATAAGCCTCCCGTTCGTTGGCCTCCGGCGGCCCAGACCTGTAAAATTTGAGCCTTATATCGCGTCAAATGGAGGCAAAACCGCACCCAAAATATACCATCAAATGCAGCGCGGACAACAGTGTAGGCAACACACAGTCGACACCTTTGCAAGGCCAGCCGTTTTTTGGCCTCCGGCGGTTCAGACCTGCAAAATTTTGAGCCTTGAATTGCGTCAAATCGCGGGAAAAACTCACCCAGAAAATACCATCAAAACAAGCGCGGACACCAATGTCGCACACAGAATTGACAGAGAGTGAGCGTGGCGCTAAGACAACGGCGCCGTCAGTTGGAGGATCGGAGGTGTTGCTGGTGCGCGGCCGATTGCCGTGAGCGCAACGACAGTGATTGCGGGAAGAGTTCTGGGTCCCGCGCAGCACCCAGACTTCCATCCCCATCAAGCCGACAGCGGGCATGACGGCGAGCACCGGCCAGCAGCGGTCGAGAAGGTTGGCCGGAAGAGGGTCCTTGGACCATTTGGAGATGGCGACAATGGCGCGGCAAGCCCGGCGGAAACATGGCGCGGGAAGGAATTGAGAGCGCCGAAAGTCGGAGCTTGGGGTTACATAGGTCAATGACAGACACAACGTTGGCCGGGTCCCAGCATCGGGACGAGCTCCGCAAGGCCCCACAACAGCAGTCAAAGTCATTGGGAAACAGGCGCGAGGGGGAATCACAGGGTAAGCTTGCCGCTGCGCACCTTTCGAGTACCGGCCCGGAACCTGTTGTGGAAGAGGGTCCGCGGAAAGGGATGCAGGTCGGGAAGATGATGAGGGTGAGGGGAAATGACACATGCGGGAACGTGACGCGGAAGTAATGCGTGTCGACACAAGGCAGCGACAGACACGACATCTAAACATGGCGGAGGCAACAAAGTCTTGAGGAGAGAAGTGGCGCAGGGAGTGTCGAGGGAGTCGGAAGACGATGACAAAGGGTAAGAAGTCGATGACAAACTTGTCTTGGAGATGCAAAGACGACCAGCGCGCGCAGCGGGGCTTGAGTCAGCAGCAAGGACTGAATGCAACGCTGCTGGTGGACAACCGGGGTGGTAGCGCGGCGCTTCGCGCCTCACGCGGACAGGTCAGGGTGACGGGCAGTAGCAACGCGGAGAGTGGCGGTGCAGTAGGCTCTACAAGAACGGTAAGCAAATGATGATAAGGCAAAAGCAAAATTGGACTTACAACATAGAGTCAGAGCCAACAACCAGGATGCGAAGACTAGGCTTAGCGCTGCGCGCCTCGCGCCGTGTCTTTGCCATGATCAGGGCGGGTGATGCAGACATCCCGAGGCCCCCCGTTGATTGCTCGGCGCTTCGCGCCTCGCTCGCTCGCGATCCAGCACAACGGCAGTGTGGAAAACACACTGCCGAGAGCTTTGAAGTCCAGGGCGTTTCATTCGCCTCCGGCGGCAAAAACCTGTGAAAAAATGAGCCATTTAGACGCTAAAAAGAGCGCAAAAACGTACCCAAAAAATACCATCAAAATCAGATGATGGCATCAAGCCGGGTATGCCGAGGCCGATCCGGGCGCGGCGCGCTATGATGCGGGACCAAAACGGGCGGCACAGTGACGGAACACAAATTCGGCAATAGCGCAGACCTCCGGCGGCAAAAATCTGAGAAAAATAAGCTTTTTGGACGTCAGAAGTGGAGGCAAAAATTGCTTACGTAAGCATTATTTACAGGCCAAGATCGTGAGAGTAGCGCATGTTAGTGGCTCCAAATCTAAACATAACATCAACGAAATGCAACAGCGAAGCAAAAATACCATACCGACAGAGTTTCCCCATACCAGCAGAGGTTCCCCCTCTGGTCGGGGATATAGGTCGTGGGTGGCAGCGAAGCAGGTGTAGCCCCAACAGTAGCAACAGTAAGTCTAAGGCAGATGTCAGTCCTGCATTATCAAACATCAGTGACGACTTACCAGCGCATCTCCCACCCGAGCAGAGGTTCCCGCTCCGCGTCGTCATGGTCAACAACAGCACTAATCGGTCATCAGTACAAGGTCACATCCCAACGGCAGAAAGAACTTACCAGCAATATTCCGCATCCGAGCAGAGGTTCACGCTCCCGCAAGGATTTAGATCCTGCGTGGAAAGGTTAATACTCAGTAACAGGCAATGGAGGGAAAACATACCAGTAGTAGTTTCGCGGACGAGTTACTGAGTTGCGAGACAATGGGCGGCGCATCAACATTGCTTCGCGAGCGACGGTCACAAATCTGAAGCTGATATCAACATCTTATCGCAAAGAACAATGGCAATAACTTACTAGAAAAGCATCCACGCACGAGCAGAGGTTCCCCCTCTGTATACGCATCGCGTTGATAATAGCGAGGCTAAGTGGTACATCAATACGACATCATACGACCACAATGAAAGCAACTTACAGCCAAGAATTCACCGCCCGAGCAGAGGTTCACCCTCTCGCGGGAGTTTGAGTGGCCGTCGCGAGCTGAAACATAATGTTAATACTCTGTTAGAAGCAATAGAGCAACGACATACCAGTCGTCGTTCCACTCACGAGCAGAGCAGAGCTCTGACTTGCGAGACGATGGCACCGCAGAGGGGAGAAGCGCGACGCCGCCTCCATGACGACATCCAGAACTACAATACTTAGATGAGCATCATACCCCAGAGACAGAGACAACTTACGAGCAGAGGTTCCCCATCTCTGAAGACAGCAGCGCGAACAGCTATGAACCTGTGCCAACATTAACAACGCACTAGAAAGCAAGAAAAACGCTGACATACCGGCATATTCTGAAGGTCCACGCAGAGGTTCCCCCTCCCGGTGAGTTTTCGCTAGACGTTGACGGCCGCCTGTGGAGATAGTTACTCAGGAGCGCAAACGGGAAAGGGAGTTCGACTTACATGATGTGACAAGGCCCGTGAAGAGTCGTGGACGGCGAGAGCACCAGGAACGGCGGATTGCAGCAGTTGTCGCAAGAACTTGGTAGCCGAATAAGCATGAATCTGGGCCGGTGAGTGAGTACTGATGTGGGGGTGTAGATACCAAGCAGACATACGTGACGGCAGCAGATGCTCACTGGTGCCAATAGCCGGGCA